CCAATGAAAGAAAATAGCAGGAGTGAGCACTCTGGTAATCAGCAGCAACTTGCATCTGAAAGGTATCCTATAAAACATTCGCTTTGCTTACCTACTTAAATCAGGTACCGTAAATCACTGAGAACAGCTGCAGAAATGTTAAGCTGGTTTCTTCTGTCTCTAAGTCCAAGCCTGAATTATGAAGGGGTGGGAAACCTTCAGAACTGAAACTTCTTTTGTTTCTATTTTAAATTCTCAATTTTGTTATTTGTGACTGCACATTTCAGAAAAGAAAGATTGAGTTTTCCTTTTCTAAGCACTCTGAACTCTTATAATGTAGTCTATACATACTACATTATATTCTATAGTCTTACTACAGGAAATATATTACAACACAGTATATGTTCACCCTAGAAGCCAGAATGTTCCTGTATTGCAAGTGTATGTTCAATTCTCCATATAATTCACATCTACAAAGTATGTTCAAAAAGGTCAACCAGGGAATCAGGCCCAGTCAGCATGGATTTACGAATGGTAGATCCTGTCTGACAAACCTGATCTCGTTCTATGACAAGGTGACCCGCTCAGTGGATGAGGGTCAGGCTGTCGATGTGGTCTACCTGGACTTCAGTAAGGCCTTTGACACTGTCCCCCATAACATTCTTGTGGAGAATCTGGCTGCCCATGGTGTGAATGGATGTACACTCCACTAGGTGAAGCACTGGCTGGATGGCCGGGCCCAAAGAGTTGTGGTCAATGGAGTTGGATCTAGATGGCGGCTGGTCACGAGCAGTGTCCACCAGGGCTCAGTACTGGGGCCACTTCTGTTTAACATCTTTATTAATTATCTTGATGAGGGGATTGAGTGCATCCTCAGTAAGTTTGCAGACGACACCAAGCTGGGAGGGAGTATTGATCTGCCAGAGGGGAGAAGGACACTGCAGAGGGACCTGGACAGACTGGATCGATGGGCCAAGGCATGAGTTTCAATAGGGCCAAGTGTTGGGTCCTGCATTTTGGTCACAACAACCCCAGGCAACCCTACAGGCTTGGGGAGGTGTAGCTGGAAAGCTGCCTGATGGAATGGGACCTTGGTGTTCTGATGGACAGTCGGCTGAACATGAGCCAGCAGTGTGCCCTGCTGGCCAAGAGGGCCAATGGCATCCTGGCTTGTATCAGGAATGGTGAGGTGAGCAAGATTTGGGAAGTCATCCTGCCCCTGCACTCAGCATTGGTGAGGCCTCACCTCGAGTACTGTGTTCAGTTTTGGGCACCTCAGTTCAGAAAGGACATTGAGGTGCTGGAGCAGGTCCAGAGAAGGGCAACGAGGCTAGTGAAGGGCTTGTAAAATCAGCCCTATGAGGAGAGTCTGAGGGAGCTGGGGCTGTTTAGTCTGGGGAAGAGGCGGCTGCGGTGCTTACAGTGAGAGCAGGGTTGGTCTCTTCTCACTGATGACAGCTGACAAGATGAAGGGAAATGGCCTCAAGTTGCACCCAGGTAAGTTTAGGTTGGACGTTAGGAAACAATTCTTTACAGAAAGGGTGGTTAGGCATTGGAATAGGCTCCCCAGGGAGGTGGTTGAGTCACCGTCCCTGGATGTGTTTAAGAGCCGTTTGGTTGTGGTGCTCTGAGATATGATTTAGCAGAGGGTTGTTAGAGTTAGGGTACTATGGTTAGGCTGCAGTTGGACTTGATGATCCTTGAGGTACCTTCCAACCTGTGCAACTCTATGATTCTATGATTCGCAGAACACATATCCAAAGAAGCACTTTCCCCTCCATTCGCAGATTCAAATAGACTGTGCTGTTGCATTATCACAGCATATAGTGAAAACTTACCCATCTGACTATACATTTGATGAGAGAGGAGAACTGTTATGTGAGGGTGTTCCCATAGCTCAAGGAGAGATTCTGCATGTCTCCAAAACAGTGTCCTTTTTCATTGTCAACTTTTGTTATCACTACTGGTTTTCTCAGGTTTTCCAGTACATTTTTTTCCTGCTTTTTGGGACTTATGAGTTTAGTAATACGCAAAGCAAAACTGTTCCAAGAAAAGCTCTTAGGGCATTTATACTCTTTGTTCTCTTTCCTAGTTGGCCTTCTCCAAGCACAGATATTTCATAATTTTGCAGCTGAGAAGCAAATCTATAGCTCTACAGCAGCAAATCAGTGCCACTCTGTTTGCAGCCCTCCTCAATCTACAAGCCATGATCAGCATTCTTTATCAGATAATCTTGTTACTGAGTGGAAAGAAACGCAGGTTGACAGCAGGACAATCAGCAGCAGCAGAGTTGTGGTGAATTACTGGTAGGTGGGTATCGCACAGTGACCAATAATGCAGAGGTCAGTGGAGTTACGAAGAAATAATAGATGTTGCAAATGGTGGAAAGCCATAATCTCTTTGCTGCAGTAACTAAAACTCACTATGAAATAAGGCACGCTACTTGCTTGCCATTACTAAGAAATGCCCCTTGCTTTAAGGTCCTCTGTGCAGGTGTCCACAAGTGCCTGAATAACACTGCTGCTACCTAGAGAGTCAGGGAGTCAAAGGACAAATAGAGAAGGAATGAATGACTTTGCAGGAGCAAGAATTCAGACATCAGCAAGGAAGTCTGGTCGATGGCAAAGGAAAGAGGAGAGGAGGTGATACAGGCAACAGCTATCTTCCCTGTAGTAGCCGAACTAGGCTGAATGCAAACGAGAAAGGGGAGAAAGGATCTCATCTGACTCACTTCTCTGAAGACAGTATCTATGTGACAGTGAAAGTAAATGAAGTAGCAGTGAAATGTAGAGAAGAGAGTGAATTTAGTGTAGCTGGAGGACACTCTGGAAGACGCAATTTGACTCAAGCTTTACATAACAAAGACTTTTCTGGGTGACATTGTTTAGTCTGGCCTTATCTAAATACTGAATGATCTATTTGCTTTTGCTACAGGCAATTGCCTTTCTAACCTCAGAACAGGCCAGCCACACATATCTAAGGAAGAAAGGTGAAAGTTAATCAGAGTTGTGTATCAGACAACCGGTTCCATTTCATGGTTACCTATCACTCTCAGATCTGTTAAAGATAGAGCTAGCTAAGCTAAAAAACAAAACAAAACAAAGAAAAAAAAGAACCCCACCGTCTGACTAGCAAACTCTTTATTTCTTATTACTTGCATTAGACTACTTTCCCTGTATTTTAGGAACGTTTCTGTTGATTCTAGTTTTCAAGAAAACTCTCTGGTAACTGTAGCCCATGTATTTATCTTTGCAGAGCAGCTGACACAAGTCGTTAAGTGCAAATTGTCCTTCCTGGCTTTCATGTCATCCACACAGATAGTTCAGTTCACAGTGTTAACTACCTCAGAAACAAACTTGGCCAAGCAAAGGTCAGGCCACTCTCATAACCTATCTGCAACACAGAACACAGTGAATGCTTATGATGCAGTAAGAACATAAAATACAACTGCTGTTGGTCAGGCACACCTAGAGAATGGCAAGGCTGGGTCAAGCCCAGAAATTGCAACTTACTGGCAGTTTGTATCACACAGAAACCATGTTAAAAAAAAAATAAATAAAAAAAAAGGAAAAGAAGAAGAAGGAAAAAAAAAAAGCGCAGCTGTGAAGTCATGTATTGTAAAGCTCCGTTTTAAGGACACTGAAAGGACTCTTGATCCAATGTTAAATATGGCTTCCCCTTTAAGCAGAGTAATTAGATACTGTTGTGGCTTTAAATGGACTTTTAGGAGGTGAAGTTCCAAAATATTAAGCTTTTTTTCCCCCCCCTTCTGTTTAAATAAGTTGTTTTTGTCTGATTTAAAGTTTGAGTTTTATAGGAAGCAACTGGAAACCAGCCATCAGAACACCATGCTGCTGTCTGGCTGAGCGAAATTTAAGCCCACGTCCCATTCTAACGGAACACGACGAGTTCAGTGGGAGCGCAGAGAGATACTGTAACCAACAGACATTCGTTCAGTCTTCTGTGCCGTCAGAACCCTTTGCTACAAAGGAGAACGAAACGCAGCACAGTAGGAGCCGTGACATCAGGCCGCTCTCATGGCAAGAGGAGATGAAACGAGATCTTTAAGCGTCCTACAAGCCAGCGCAGCCCACGGTGCTATGACCCGCGTTCCCCGTCGCAGCTCGAGGTGCCCCCGCAGTGCCGCGCTCTCCCCCCTGGGGTCCCCACCACGCCGGACCGGGGCGCGCCACGCGCCTGCGCCACCGCCGCCGAGCGTAGAGCGCTGCTGTAGAGCTCTACACGGCGCCGCCGGCGGGAACGGCAGCGCAGCGCCGGCCAATGGGCGCTCTGCCGCCACTGAGGTCAGTTCCGCTGGCTGGCGCTGCGCTCCGCCGAGGCTGCGGCGGCGACGAGGGGCGCGGGTGCGCCCTCGCTGGGGTAAGTAGCGCGGGGCCGTGCGGCCGCCGAGCTGGGGCAGCGGGAGGAAGCGTGCGGCTGGAGACGAGGGGCGTGCGGGCGGCCGGCCGGCAGGGTCTTCCCGGCGCCACTGTAGGTGACGGCGCTCGTCTCGTTCTCCGAGCCAGGTAAGGTTCCTCCAGACCGCCGCCGCCGGCCGCGCACGAGCCGCCGCCCCGCCTGTCCGCGGCGGGAGAACCTGGCTCCCCGCGGCGAGTGTGGGCCGCGGCGTTGCTCAGTGCTGCCCCCCGCCGGCCGCCGCCGGCACTGCGCGCTAACGCGGGCGGAGCCGCCTCCCCGCCGGCGGCGGCGGCAGAGGGCGAACGTTTGCGCGGAGTGCGGAGGATCCGCTGAGCGGCGCGCCGGGCAGCGGCTGAGCGCTGCCTCTTGGAGATGCACCCCGAGCGGGGGCGGCCCCGCGTCCTCCACGGGGCGGCAGCGCGGCTGCGTGGGTGGGCGAGCCGCCCCCAAATGGGATTATTTTGTTGGTGTTGTGCGGCGGATGCTGCCGGCTCGCGGGCGCCATGAGGCAGCGGTGGAGGCGGCTGCACTGCGAGGCTGTTGTCTTGGCTTGGCGTCCTGGCTGCTCGTCCTGAAGAAGAACAGCTTTCGGGTTAGTAGCCGTGTTACTGAGCAAATGGGGCGTTCTGCGCCCTGCATGTGTATGTTTAATGCTTTACAGTATTCAGACGGAAGGTTCTCTTAATTAAATCCTACGTTTAATTTTGTTGCTAGAGAATGTATCATAAAAATGTATGGCATTGGTCGCTTAGGGCTATTTTCATATATAAAACGACTTAGAATTCTTTTAAAAAATAGATCTGTGTTATCATGGAGGTAGTCTAAGTGCTTTAATGCACGCTTTTAATAAAAATAAGTCTTTTTTTTTTTTTCTTTTTTTCAATTAAGAAGACTGATGGTATTCCATAGGGATTGCTGGTGTTCTATTCTGCATTGTTACTACAATGCCAGGCTGTGGTCAAGGCCCTTTTTCCTGCAGATCCTTATGTAAGTGGCCAATTTGATCAGGAATTAAACACGGCGATGAATTTTGCTGTCTCCATGAGTGTTTGGAGGTCTGGGCACAGAGGAATACGTGCTTTCATTGAGCTCTTTAGCCCTTCCTCTGCTATTATCTGCGGTGCCATGTTTCCTTGCTTTGTTGCTTGCAGGCCTTGAAGCTTGGAGCGAGGTAATGCAGATGCTACTCAATCCTTGGGATGTACAGAAAGATTTTTAGATAAATGGCTGTCAATTCTGTGAAATAAGAAGATGTGCAGCATAAATCTATAGGATGATTGTATATTGTATGAGAAATTGTACTAGCATCTTCTTGGGCACTGTCAAAAATAACTACTTTGATATAGTGATTATACATCAGGGTGCTTTGCTTGCTGTATTACAGTAAGACCATCAATCAATTGGAGTACATATCGGAGTCTTTTATGTGTCAGATAAGGCCTGTGGCCCAGAGCCTTAGAAAAGCAGACCTTGGTTTCAGTAGAGCACTGCATAATGCACTTGCCTTCTGTAGATGCCTGCAATGTTAATTAGACAATTTTTTGTCTGTGCATTAGGAAAACAGTTACTTTTAATCAATATTTTGCATAACTTCATACTGTAAGTGTTAAAAATTCTGAATGTAATTATTTTCATGAGCAGTGAAATAACTGTATATTCTGTAATAAACGTGAGCTCTAAAAACCTGGTATGTGGTCTTTGCTCTTCTCCACTCCCTACGTTGACACTCCTCATTCATTTTGGTGGAAAGGCTTCATGTGAATTTCAGATACAGAGAGCACTGCGTCTGTGTGATTAGCTGTCATTTTGAAACAATGCATATTTAAGAAGAATGATAGATAAATAAACGTGGTGTATTTGAATCACCGATTTTTAATACAAAATCAGTTATTTTGATTAGTTTAATATGTTAGTCTAGCACTTTCCTAGTCATGAGGCCTAAAGCTGTGACTGATTATTACATGGTTGTGTCAGCAGGACAGTTAACTGCTTAACAGAGACATCCAACCAATGTTAAATGGGCAGTATATGGCATAGCATACAAATGTGGGAAGCAGATGAGATAGGTTTACGTGGAGATTTAAGTTCTGCCATAGAGATTCACACTTCCTGATTTAGCGATGCGCAGTGTCTTTCTATTCTTTATAAATCTTTCTTAAAAAAAAAAAAAAAAAAGACTTGCATGGATTTTTTGGTACCAAAGCAGGCCTTGATTGTTGGGTGCAGGCTATGAGCTTAGTATGTGAGAAGTGTACGCTTTGCTGATGCAATTTGATCACATGTGATAAAAGCATATTGCTTGTCACATCCATTTTTTTTGACAGCAGTGTATACTTTGAGCACGTGCTTGACAGGAGTGAATAGGAAAGTTTGGTTTATCTTCTTTTTGTTGTCTTTTTTTTTTTTTCCCCCCAAAATTAAGGTCTGTGGTATTTTGAAGTATTTTCACACACATTTTCCAAATCTGTTGTTGTAAAGACAGTGATTGGAACTGATTTTTGACACTTCTAATATATTTTACTTTGTTCTTCATCTGTCCCATTCCCGCAGTAGCAATTCAGAATCCTTGTGGACTTTCAAATCTTATTTCAGTGTTATCTTTGTTTTGCTCTGTGTGCCCTGGATTTGGTTGTAACTTGAAGAATACAGTATGTATCATTTCATTAAATCTTCTGGAGCATGTCTGTGCTAATACTTTTAATTACCTCAAAAATTCTTCTGGGTATTCCTCAGGCCTCTCCCCCTCAACCATTCTTGCTGATATGAAGTGAACGGATGTTGGATCATTACACCACCTTTCTGTGTGTATGTTGTTGGTTTCATTTCTCTGAAGTAACCAGGAAAGGCAAATAAATTTCAGTCTAGTAAAAAAGGCAAATTAATTTCAGTTCAGTAAAAGACATTTTACAGTATACGTTGGTTTAGCCAAAACAGCGATAAAATTGAATGCTTTGTATCCAGTCATTTCTGAGTACTGAATAGTTAATAAGAAAAGATAGGTGGACAAAACTGTGGAGACAACAGGGGATGTCATTTCAGCAGCTGCTGGTTATTTTGTTCTTTTTTTTTACCACATACTTGGTGTGGATGAGATGAAGTTAAAATTTTTCAGTGCAGTGTGTCTGATGTGGTGTTTTGAAGTTGTGGCTAACGCAGCACTGATGATACGCCAGTGTTTTGGCTGTTGTTGAACAGCGTTTGCATAACGTTGAGGCTTGCCCTTTTTCTCCTTGCAGCCCTCCCCCACCTCACAGAGAGTAAGTTAGGAGTGAGCTAGAAGGCGCAGTGCTGCGACAGCTGGCTAGGATCGGTCAGAGGGGCGGTCCATACTGTACCACGTCATGCTCTGCAGTAACAACTGGAAGGGAAGGATAGAGAAGGGGAGAGGGGGCTTGGCTTCCAAGATGGTTGGTGCTCGTAGACAGACTGGGCATCGATCTGCTTGTGGGAGGCTGTAAGTGATTTTCTTTACACCACTGCTTATCCTACCTCTGGCCTCTTTCCTTTATTGAATGTCTTTGTCTTGACCCATGAGTTTTCTTGCTTTTGTGCTCAAGTTCGCCCTCCTTCCTGCACAAGGAGGAGTGGGAAGTGAGCAAGCAGCTGTTTAGATGATGGTTGGTTTAACCCACTGCATGTCTGAAATGCATTTGCAGCACTCAACATTAAAAACCTGGTTTCTAACAGCTCCATTAGAACATTATTACAACATAGCATTTTTCACAGATCTGAATAAAAGCTTACGTTTATTGTTACACCCATGTTCTCTTTTCCCCAAATGTCGAGGTACTTGAGTTGGGAAAGATTTTAAAGATTACTAACCTGTTCTTTGAATTAATTAATTAATTTTATTAAATAATTATTTAAAAGAGGTAATTCAAAGAACAGGCTAGTAATCTTTCAGTCCCTTCTTGGGCTGAGCAATCCAGATCTGCCTGGGCAACTGAAGCATTTGTCAGGTGTTTGACAACCTCTGTTACTGTCTTGTTTTTTAAAGGTAATGGATCCATTTTCATGTTGTCTTGTAAGGTGAAGTTTACAATGTTAATTAAAAAAATACAACACTTTTTTTTGTGATGTCTATAAAGTACTCTATGCTTATGTGTTGGTCAGTTGATGTCAGGTGTAGTTTCAGTAAGGTAAGAAGTTACAGCAAAAACAAAAAAGCGAAGACAATCTTAATTGGATTTCACCCATCCTTCCCAAATACAGTTCTAATTACTTCTTAGAGCTGTAGAAATTCTTGAAGCATTTTCGGTCTGGACACAACGCTACAGCTTATTGAGGGCTCATAGCATCTTTATCCTGAAATGAAGCAATGGATCTCCTGAACATAGACCTGTCATCAGTCTTACATGTCAACAAGATTCATCTCAAGTCTGAGAAGTGATATTTGTAGATGGGAAGTGCAGTCCGTCCAAGATGATCAGAATTATTTGTTTTATTTTATTCTTTATGCCCTCTGTTATCCAGATTCTAATGTTATGAACATTGGATTTGAAAATGCGTGCACACACACAATAATAAAACAAACAAAAAACCCCAACCCCAAACTACACGCACAAAAAACATTCAGATCATGATCCAGTAATGTATTCTTTCCTTGTTCCTAGGAAGCTGCCCTGTGTGATTTGTTTTTCACACAGGGATGTAGCTACAGGTGTCTGCATTGCAATGAGATGAGATTGCTACAGTCACAGGAACTTCCTGCTGATGAGTTGTACAGCTTTGCAGCCATCCATCTGCTAGAGGCTGAAAATACAATTATCTTGTCTTTAACCAGTTTTCTAATTTCTTATTGTTGTTTGAGATTACTTCAGTATACTTGCTTTTTGCAGAGTTCCATCTCTAGGGCAGCGTTCTCACAGCAGTTAGGAATATTAGCAGATAGAGCACAGATAGACGTAAGAAAAACTTAATGGATTAGGTGCTCATTCTCAGGCACTGTAAAGATGTTCCATAGTATAAACTTCTCATTCTGTCAGTATTACAGTAATAGGATGCTACTTTGTGATCTCAGCTGTGTGAGAGGGCTTTGGAACCAAAATCAAGTCTGTCTCTGGATAGATGTGGAGAAGAACTAGCTCCCAGGTGCAGAAATGCCCATCTTCTTTAAGATGTATTAAAATGGAGCAGATCTGTGTTACAGTTTGTCTTTAAGCGAGAAAATTTCAATAAGAAAGGTATTGAATTGAGTTGTTCTTGCTGTTAGCTTTAGATTTTATCTTACGTATGTCTCAAAAGCATACATTTTTTTCTGTTTTCTAAGTATCAGTGCTCTTATAGTTCTGGCAAAAGCTTTTGAAGCAGAGATCTTGTTCATGTTAAATATATAAAAGAGATGGTAAGAGTTCTAGAAGCTTTGAGGCCAAACATGCTGCACAAGTTAACAGAGTGGTTTTGCATTGATGTTACTGTTTTACCTCTGTCTTCTCTTGCTTTGCTTATTTTACTTGATTGACACAGTTTGTACTGTCAGGTTGGAATGAATTATTTATGTGGTTGTTGACATACGTAGAAGTGATTGTTTTGTGTTATTAATAGGAGTGAAAGCAATTACTTTTTGCAGCTGCTGACTTTTAAATTAATTATGTTGTTGTAGCTTATTATTTTGAGAATATGTGAAGTAGAATTTGCATGTGATTATGTATTAGCAAGACTGGACCTGAAACATTGGTATTGTTCTTTTCTAAAGAATTTCCATCTGTACTTCAGGAATTTTTACTTAAAAGTCTTTGATTTTTAAAAGCAATCTCATAGTTTTGTTTTTCTAGTAACCCTTGTGGTCACTGAAGTCTTACCTCCTGGGATTCACAAATGAGTGGTACCTGTGATGTTTTTTTAATGTCTTTTCTGTGCTGCCAGTATATTTTTGGATCACATACTTACTCATTTTCAAGCATTGTAAAGGTGTTTTGTAGTTTAAAGTTCTCGATCTGGTAGTATTGTAGTAATTGGATGCTGCTGTGTGATCTTGGATCTATGAGAGCTGTTCTTAAAACTGTCCTTAACTGTATATAGAACTGAAAGCAAATTCTATTGCTGAGTTCCGTTATCAAGTGTCCTCCTTGTTAGGCTTGAATACATCTTAAATGTAAAGTCCTTATGACATGGAAGAAATAGCATACGCTCTGTAGGTTTTGATAAATATCAGATCAGTTTGTGAATTTATGAGCACTGACGATGAGCAGATACTAAGGGATTATTTAACTGATCATGTTTTACTTAGAGTTAATGATTCTTTGTGCATAGTAGAACCATCTTAATATATTAACAGATTTGCACAGTGTAATTCGGCCGTAGTTTGCTAATAGTTGACTAGTTCAATGATTAGTAAATCACAACTGACTTTTCTTCTGCTCTCTATTCTTTAGTGCTGCAAGTTGATTGAATAAAATTAAGAACGTGGACTATAATATGGATGCAATTCCTTGATCACCATTTCTTCCAAAGAGCATTTTGCGGATTGGTGGACTGAGCGAGTAATTGTTAAGCTGCATGCACCAGACTAACATCAGGAAAACATTCTGTTGCTGCTGTTTGACAAAGCTGGTGCAGATTTGCATCTTCTGAAATGCAGTTGAAAAAAATGAGGGAAATTCTACCAAGATTGTACCCTGGCCAAGTTAATGGTAAAAATAATTCCTTAACTACATCCCCAAAGCAATCGTTTGAAGATAAAACAAATCCATCAAATGGTGATGATAATCAGAACTACTGTTACCAGGGGACTGAGGCTGAGAATAGTAAGCTCTCATTGATAAGCTGTATGAAATGCAGAACTATTCAGAAAATTTCAAAGCAAGATTTAGAAAAGCATAAGAAAGTTGGGTGGACTGAAGACAAAAACTTCATCTGCAAGATGTGCAGTCATATTACACCGCCTGCTTTCCATTTTGTCCCTGAAGGTGCCAATGCCGTGGACTTCGAAAAACATGATAAAACTTACCCAAGGAAAAAACAGAAAGCATTTAAAGTTAAAAACTTCTTGCCCGGTAAATACTACTGTGATAAATGTAGATTTTCAACAAAGGATCCTTTGCAGTATAAAAAGCATGTAAGTCAACATGAAGAAATTAAATTTATTTGTTCCTATTGTAATTATATATCCTACACCAAAGGTGAATTCCAGAGACATTTGGTGAAGCACACTGGAACTTTTCCGTATCAGTGTGAATACTGTGAATATGGTGCTGTTAGGCATGATTATATAGTGAAACATACAAGAAGAGTGCATGAAGCGCCCAAAAAACGGCTGTCAAATACTGGCTTAAAACGTCAGCAAAAGAAGTCTTGCTTACCAAGTCAAAGCACTTTATTTGAAAAGCAGAAATATGAAGAAATTACTTTTCAGAATGAACTTTCAAATTCGTCTTCAAATATCACTTGTGAGATTCCAGATAAAGTGACTAAAATAATCTCTTCATCTCATGATATAGGTAGCATCAATACAGCTTCAATGCAGAATAAAACAATATTGGAGCCATCTGAAATAAGCATGTGTGAGAATCAGAGTGTGGAAGTTGAGGTTTATTCTCCAAAAATGGAGCCTTTACAACCTGGAATGCCTTTAACTGTAATTGCACCATCTGAACTTGTAGTTCCTTCTAACTGTTTAGCTCAGATAGTAGAAATTAAAATAGTGAATGGAGCTCAACAGCTGGTTCTTAAACTGATTCCTATGAAAGAAGCAGCTTGCAGGCCTGTGAACTGTGCTGAACTGGGACTTGAGAATCAAGGTACAGAGAGAAGTGCAGAAGGAAAAAAAACATCTGTATCTTCGAATGAATTACTAACCATGGAAGTGAATGTAGACAAGTTATCCAGTATTAATAATCAGCTTAATTTAGACAGTAAGTATGACAAGAATTCTGAATGCCTTTATTCATCCGATTCTCAGTACTCAGACTGCAACTCTGCATCAATTCAGAAAGAGGATTCATCAAAATTATGCCTTCATTTGGTGAAAGGTATTGATGTGCATTCAGGTGTTATAGAACTTTGTTCTCAGTCTTTGGTGACTAATAGTACTGAAAAAAAAAGTGGTCTTAACTCACCCAAGTGGGAAGTGGATGGAAAAAATAACTTGCGTTACGATTTGTATTGTTACGAAGAAGGTGTGGATAGATCTCGTCAAAAGTATGCCGCTGTTTCTGAAGATAAAAGTTCCAAGAACAATTCAGTAAAGACTACTCAGGAGGGGAAAAATTTCTACTCTTCTGCTGTCCTTAAACAAAAAGATATGTTTCCGGTAAAGAGGGATGACAAAGAATGTAGGAGTCTGATAGTCAACTCTGCAGAAACGCATTTAGCTGCTAAGGGTTTTGATAGAAAATCTGTTATATGTTCTGAAGCAGAAAAAAACTTTCATGTTACTAAAACTTCACCTTGGGAGGACATGACTTTCAGCTTTAGTAAAGTGAAGAAAGCCGAGACTGTAAATCAAAAAAATAATCTTCTTCTGGAATCACTAGAATTGCAGAAAATGGAGAATAAGAACAATCCTTTTGAGGGACCTGTTATTTCATCTGTATTTTCTCTTAGCTCTGGGACTGAAAATGTTCCAGAGGGCATCAGATGGGATGATACAACACGCAATAAGAAGTCAACAACGTTGCTGTGTAGAAAAATTGCTCAGCTTATGTCTGCTGCTGAATCTAACATGAAATCTATGCCATTGAGATGCCAAGCTTCTAGTAAAAAGATGCATTTCCCTCAGGAAAATTCAGCAAGCTGTGAGAGAGTTGCTTCTGCCACTGAATTGGAACAAGCTATGTCTTTCCCTCAAGTGCACGGTAGAAATAATGTAACTGGTAGTGATGAACACAGTAATGAGCAGCTACTTACATTTGCAAGAACATCTAAAAGCAGGATGACTAAAAATTCCAATGTTGCTTCTCCAGTGTTTATCCCCAAAGGGACAATGCTGAGAGTGCTCAATGCTACTAGCAGTCAAAACTCCAGAGGAATAGAAAAAATGAGCGAAGCTTCAGCTCCTTCTGCGTATTGCAATGAGATGCTTCTGCCTCGTCCAGTTCCTGTCAGTGTTTCTGAGAAACTTAGCAGTAATTTGCCGTGTTTGCCTAATCGGAGTGATCCAAATACTCAGTCCCGAAATATATCGCTCAGGCAAAGACCAAAGCGAGAGATGAATGCTAAAACTAGTAGCAAGCAAACTGTTATATCATATCAGAAAAATGGCGATGTAAGCAAGCAAAGCAAACACTATTCAAAAAGTCAGCAAGGACACAAAAATAAGGTAAAACAAGCAGGTTTTAGGGAACTTCCAAAGAGAAAAACAAGAACACAGTCAGAAACCAGTTCAGGTTCTGACATGTCGTATCTATTGACAGCAAGACGTCTTCGGCTTGTCCCTCTGAGAATGAATCAGCTGATTAAATGCCCTCGTCGTAACCAGCCAGTTGTGGTGCTAAACCATCCTGATGTTGATACCCCAGAGATAATTAATGTAATGAAGACTATCAACAAATATAAAGGTCATGTCCTGAAAGTAGTTCTCTCAGAAAGGACAAGTAGTTGTCTTGGTGTCAAACGTTACCGAAAGCGTCTTACTCTTCAGAATGCTGAGACAGGAAGCCAAGCAAAAAAGCAGAGTATGCTAAAAATGAAACTGAAAAAGACCCATAAAAACAACTACCAGGTGGTGGAAGCCTCACCAGCTGAAGCACTTCAGTGTGTGTTTAAGTGCTGGTTTTGTGGAAGAGTATATGCGGACCAAGAAGAGTGGATAAGTCATGGACAGAGGCACTTGATAGAGGCAACCAAGGGTTGGGATGTTCTTTCGCTTCCAGTAACAAAGCATTAATTGAGAGACTAGTTTTGTCTATTTGTTTTTACTCTTAATTTCAATGAGTGCCGTTAATTTCCTTGGAAAACAAGATAGGAAAAACTGCTTTACTTTGCAAGAGAATCTGTACTGTTAGAAAGCAGAAAGGAGAGCAGAGCTGTTGAGTTATTGAGAAGCTTACGCTGAGAACTAAGCACTACTTTGCACTCCCATGTTTGAAACTTTTATTGGAGGTCAGCTTCATCTTTTCCGTAAGACAAATTTGAAAAGAATTTGCTATGCAAACATTTTTCTTGTTGCCATTATCTGTTCTAGGATTCTGTGCTGTACCTGGTTTCTGCTGGGTCTGTACAAATAAAATCCTAGACTATGATATCTGTCTAACATGGTTTAATTTGTTTTATTACAGCATAGTATTTCAGAGATTAGGCATACATGTAATGAACAGCACCTTCAAATCCTCTGTGGGCTGCAAGTGTATATCACAGGTTTTAGTGGCAATTCAGGCACAAAATATAGGAAGTAATACTTAAATTCAAGCACTCATTTTCAGTGGAAGAAAACCACTGACTTTAAAGGAATAAAAGGCTGTAAATGAGAAATCTGTGAGATGAGAGTTACTCCCACTAGGTAAAATAGCACTAAAATGCTTAATTTTTTCTAGTATTTAGTTTTTACCTAGCTTGTGTTGCATAGATGTGAGAAAAAAGAGCACAACCATGCCAGCCTTTTGAACTGCTTTTGCTGAGCAGTCAGGGTTGGTTGGAGGACACATTAAACTTGGACTGAGACTTGGACCACACTTTTCTGTGTGGTCTCAGACTTCAGAACTCTAATGCTGGATTGTAAGGTTGAACCGGAACTACTGTTTCGAAACACTGGTAGTTCCTAGCTCTTCATTTTCACTGTTGGTGCATTTTTGTAAACAGTTTAACTAAGCTGGGAATATTTTTCTATATACTCTGGTGAATTATTCATTGTTTTGATAAAGTATGTATGGTATCTGTATTGAAATGTAAATATTTTAAGACTTCAAAGTACAACAAAGCTAAACAGTTAAAAGGTTGCTTTCCAATAATTTTGCAATACTGTTAAAATTGTTCAGAGACTTGGTGCTTTAAGTGAGACCTTCTTCATCAGACATTGGAAAATTTTATATCATTTGTATCATAGGCTAATGTATTCCACAGAACAAACTTCCTTTTCTCTGTTTTGTCAGTAATAATGAAAGGACAGTTCTCATTTTTGTATTCAAATGGAATTATATTTTTTTAGATGGGTACACTAGAGGGTTTTTTCACTTCATGTACTTTTATGCCAAACCTAACAGTACTATTTACATTTTTTATTCTGAAAATAGTTTCCATTTTAAAACTCTGGCATATCACATACAATAAATATTAGAACTGTTAACGTAAGAAAAATATGGCTAAAATCCCTCCTTTGTTAAACTCTTTCAGTCCAGGTTACTGTCCGTATTAATTTTGTTTTTGTAGAAGCTACAAAATAAATGGCTTTGAATTTGCTTCTTAAGAGTTGTTGCTGGCAAAATAAGAACATTCTTTATGAAAGCTGTACTCTGTGTGTGTGTGTGTGGAAAAAATGTTGCTACTCAGCGTTATAAACTAGGTGGGTTAAGTATACTAATAACGTGTGTCTTTAGTAAGCAAGTTTGCTGTTTCGGTGAGCATCTACGAAGCTTTGTGTGTCTCTGACATCGTCTGCTGTCTGAATTGTTAAGCTGTTCTTTTTTATTGTGGGTTTAACTTAGAAAAAAATATTTTTCTTTTAATGTAAAATCCTTTCGTAAGTTAAATTGTATGGTGACTATAAAAGCCTGAAAGCAGATTATGTCATGCCTCATTTCCTTTTTGAGTTCTGCCAAACTCAGCAGAACTCCGATGGTTAGATAGTGTCATGTCAAAATAGTTTCCTCCAAGTTTGATAGTCCCAGTGGTTTGAGAGAAGTAAGTACAATGAATGTTCTTTTGTATTATGATGCAGTGTGGAGAAATAAAAAGGTTGCAAGGAAGTCAGCAACCAAATGCTCAGATTAGTTTGGTTCTAGTTTGTGCCACTGCACAGCACAGTGCATCATAAGTTGGCTTGGAATCTCATGGTCTGGGCTTCAATATTTTAATTCTTCCAATTACCCAGTCAAAGTGAGAAAAGATGTTCATTGATGCTTACAGTCAGTACTTTCCTTTCACATTCGTGGTGAAACTTTCCAAAACTTAAATTGTATGAATAGATATTGCATTTTTTGCTGGAAAAATACTTCACCATTTCGTCTGCTTTGATATATTCTGGAACATTTTTAGGTAAGTTGGAAACTTTTCTACTGTTTCTGCCGATGGTTTTTATCTATATCCTTGCACGTGGTAAGACTTTGGAGGGGCTATTTCTTTAATGGTCCTAATGTGTGTGTTTGAGCATTCAAATGTGGAATACAAATAGTTGCTGCTTGAGCTAAAGGTTATATGTTAAGCAATAGACCTTTCGTCATTAAAGGTGTCCTTAGGATTTGGTCCAATACTTTGGATCATCAGCTGACACCCATTGATTTCAGTGGCTGCCAAGCAGGGATTTTTATTGTGCAGATACACACACATACAGGATTAAAGTGTTAAACAGCGAATACCCAAATAGCGTCTTACGTGTATTTTACGTATATTTATAAGGAAAGAATACACTTTTTTAATTCAGAATATTTTATTGGGTTTTGCTACTGAATGAGCTTCAGTGACACTCAAGTAAGCAAGACTGAGTTTGATTTTCATCTTGTGTTAGGTACAAAGCAAGATAAGCAAATTGCTCAACCACTGTCAGAGTATCAGGAGTCAGTCTCTTAATGCTTGTATGTGAGTTAATACAATGACATATGCTTTACCTATGTCCTCAGTTTTGTTACATCTTCTAGATAAAAACATATTGCAGGAATTCAAAATTGGAGCTATAATACAAGTTGGAGAGAAGATGTAGTAGAACATACAGAAGTCTTTGTAATATGGAGAGCTGATCACTCAAAGGTTAACCTGGCTTCTTACACATTTAAATAATTGTTCTATTTATATTTATTCAAAAGTTGGTGATGTTAAGGTAAGATGCGTCTTTTGCACAGCTTTAATGGATGTGTAAGGTAGCATTGTACTCTTTGGGCTCCTGTTTTATCCTTTCCATCAATGAGTGTGATGGGAACATATTTATAGAAGTCAATTATATCTTTCACAGAATTAAATTTCTGAGGGAAAAAGAAAAAATGAAAAAATTAGTGGTCAAAAAATCTGATACATATCTGTCTATAAAATCAGAACAATAGCTATTGACAGTGTTAGAAATAGGCAATATTTTGAATAAAATTATGATCAGACTATCATAAGACAAAAAGCACCTCATTTATTGTTTTTGTTGCACGTGATTAAAGAACAGCTGTCTGCTTGGAGCAAAAAGGGAGCATGTCTAACCCTGGGAACACAGTATCACTTGTGAAAGTTTGTAATGGCAGGTGCAATGATAATTTTTTGATCTTTTCACTAAAATTTTACCTTGTCAAAGATAACATTTAGTTAGTAGTACAGGAAACATTGCTAGTTTTCTATCCTTTGATTTATTTATTTATTTATTTTCCCCCCCAATGCTCAGTTTACCAAGTAAGTGAATATAAAATCCCTTTAAAGGACAGTTTTAGTTTTATTCACTGGTGTTGGAAACAATGACATCCTTTAATCCTGTTCTTAAAATGATGGCTTTGTTCAAGGTCCTTAAACTGAGTCAAACTGGAACTGAAAGCTGCCCTCACCTGCCCTACTGGTGAAACTCCATCCTTGATTCTGCCATTCTGATGGTTCGCAATCCTTTACGTTTCTACTTTTCAGGCAGTGTTGTAGTCATCATCCTGTGTCTTTCAGTTTAAGTAGTACACCTCTCTCTGTACACCTTCTAAACTTTTGCACATGAAACAAATTTGACTTCTAATTTTAACTCTGGAGGTAAGTGATTGATTTTTACTATCACCATTACAAAATTCATCTTGAATTCATGGGTTCATTGTTATTAAATTGCTACAACTATACACAACAATGTAAGTAAACTATTAGTTTATTACTTTGAAATAAATGCTTATTATATCACATTTGCTCTATTTACAGTCATATTGTATGCATGATGATATCTCTTGGAAATCACTGTCACTTCCACCTCATCCACACCCAGTTTAGAGCAAGAGGATTGGGTGTCATTCGGTGTAACTGCTCTTTAGTATTTTATGACAAAAGTTATTCTGCTTCAAAGAACATGAGCTAATTATTATTATTTTTTTTCATGTTTACTTGTATAGTTTTTTTCCATTTAGCATTTTTCCATTTTTTGTTGTGAAGAGATTTAAACATGAGCAAAGGTTTGAGTTGTTTAGCTCTGTCATGGGAACCGTGTACATCAAGACCAGTAGTGTTACAGCTATCTGTGGATCTTTAATAAAGAAAACAAAATGGCTGGAGGGGGGGGGGTGGGGGGGTGGGAAGTAAATGATGTTCAGAACAGCAATTTTGAATGTAAGTGCTTAAATTTCATATTAAATGTCCCGCTTGTGGATCTGATCTTTGCAGCCTTTTGTGATTTGATCTGGAGCAAGCTTAGTACAATGTAAGAAATCTGGCTACATTGCTAGTAAAAGATGCTAACAGAATTAAAATTGTTTTTTGTCGTCTTTGCTTGTATTCATTCCTGCTTGATGCTAACTTATCTGCAAGGAATTTCAGTAAATTGCTTCTGATCACTATTACATTGGCATAGAAGTAAAAACATTCTAAAATAAAAATCTGATAATCAGAGAATTATTTTCTACCTTACGGGCCCCTTATAAAGGACTATAAGAGCAGAGGGGCATTAAGAGTTAGTGATGCTCTTCTGGAAGTTGAATTCAGTGTGTTGTCAAAAAATAAATAAATAAAAATCATGATACAAAATGTAACCTGTATGTGAAAAATCCAGAGGGGAAAAACTTGAGTATTTATATTCAGTGTCTAAGAATACAAGCTTTCAGTGAATGGAAATAGACTGAACGTGCTGCAGAATATCAGTAAGACAGAACCTTCTTCACGACATAAAAATTATGTGAGCACTGAGGCACTGGCACAGGCTGCCCCAGGAGCTGTATATGCCCCATCCCTGGGGGTGTTCAAGGCCATGTTGGATGGGGTCCTGAGCAGCCTGATCTGGTGGTTGGCAACCTTGCCCACAGCACGAGGTTGGAACTGGATGTTCTTTAAGGTCCCTTCCAACCCAAGCCATTCTATGATTAACTGTATACTTCAAATCCTTGTTCTCAGATTGCAGTTTTCCAATTTTAGTTTCAGACCAGACCCACTGTTCAAGATGCTCTCTTTTCTGTGCATAAGATGAAACAAACAAGAGAGTCATTCGTTATGGTATTTCCTGAGATGGTGAGATTGTGCTCTGCTTCCTTTTAGTTTAGTAAAAATCCCTTCCCCCCAGTTGGTTTTTATATTCATGTAATTTTTTAGTTCCCTTAATTGTCAAGTCTGCTCAAATGACAAACGGATTGCATTTTTATCTTTATTTCATAGTATACTATATTTCAGTTTCATTCAGTTTTTTTTAAATCCCTTGTTTCTAATCTGAGGCTTTTTCATCTGGGCAGTTACAGGAAGACTGAACAACATAAAAGTCATGGAAAGCTAAACTCTCAGTCTCTTAATTTATAATAAAACTCCAGGAAGTTATCTGTGAGGCTCAGTTCAGAACCGTAGACAGTATTTCACAGCAGACTGCACTGCAGTATGCTGCAGTAATGGTACCAGCAGTACAATTTATTCTGACTGTTTGTGTACAGTAAAGATTTTGGTTTATTATTCATTATTAAAGCAATCTTGCTGAAAAACAACTAGCTAGTTAACTTGCATCTCATGTGCCTGAAAGCTCGTGGTTTCTCCCGTGATTTCCATGAAGAGTTGAACTGTAAATCTTGGACCTGTTAAATGACTGAAATTAGTTTGGGTAGGTTTTGAATTCAGATCTTTGTTAGCTTTTGACTTGTCTGGACATGTCTGGTGAGGATGGAGTTAATTTCCTTCATAGCAGATCGTGTGGTGCAGTGTTTTTAGATGGTAACACACGGATGCTTTAGCTCCTGCTGACCAGTAGGTAGCGTCAAGGCTTTGTGTTTCTCACTCCACCCCCCACGCAATGAATAGATCAGTGGGTGAGCAAGACGCTGAGAGAACGCGAGGGGCAGATGACCTGGGCTAACCGGCGGGGTATTCTGTGCTGTGTGATGTCATATTCAGCAATAAAAACGGGCGTGGATGGGGTGTAAGGAGCTGAGCCATCTTTTCCTCGGCTCACCCATGGGAGGTGCTGAGTGATTGCTTTTGCATCACTTCCTTTGTGTGTTTTTTTTTTCTCTTCCGCTTCTCCTTTGTTTCTTAAAATACTTTTATCTTGATCTTTGGCTTGTTTTGCCTTTACTCTTCCTTTCCTTTTCCCCCATGCCATGTGGTGTTCGGCTGCAGGATGACTTTTAAAAGTACTAACATGTATAAAAAGGATGTAATTGAAGATTCAGCTATGTGGGCTTTACCATTTCACCTTATTGGGATATGTTTATTTACATATCTAACAACCTTTGTAGCGGTTTCTTGTTCTGCTTTTCTGTGTAGCTGAATTTAATGCTCAGCTGAGTAATTTTTTATTTTTTCTTTATCACATCTTTATAAGATGACTTTAGTTTTTTTCTTGTGTGAAAGACATGCAGATAGAGTTTTTGATACTTAAGCACGAAGACAAGATAAGAACTAGTTTCATCATATTATTGAATATAATTGAGTTTAGCTGTGGAAAAAACACTACTAATGTAAAGGAATTGCTGACTGAAAGTTAACCATCTTTGAAAGACTGATTAGAGGGGAAAATAACACTCCTACATTTTTTTCATGGCTTCTAAATATCCATGACTGCTTTTGTCCTCTTAATTTCTTTCTAATATTGATTTACAGTTTGTTATATGAGTGACAGATGATTAGAGAATCTGGCTATGCACTAATAGCAGCAGCAGGCCAAGCTGTCAGATATACGGAGTTGTATATCTTCTAATATTTCTGCTTATCTTAAATATACCAGACTACAAAATAAGCTACAGTGATAAGTAGAACAATACATACCTGGAAAGGGAGGACTTTTCCCCTTTACTTTGCAGGTGTTAGAATAGGTAGAAAAATCAGAAGTACTTAGGAAACGTTTATGTTGTTTTAAATCAGAGCATGTTACGTAAGATTTGATTTTAAATTATTAACTTGAGGTTTCTTGAAACACTGAGATGCAATTCAAATGCTGGTATTGTAAAACAAACTTTAATGAAGCATAGCAAGTATGTTATATGAGAAGTTCATAACTGTCTTTGATGTTAAGAACTTGTATAGTGTGACACAGAAGCAGTAGACTGAAACATAAGCAGGGATTTTACTTACATCGTCTCCTCTGAGCCCTGTTCCCAGTGCATACTGTTGACTGTCTTCCAGAAAACGTACTTTAATGTTGTATACTCTTCTTCCATAATAGACAACCAAAACATATGGTTCAGTGTTTGATTTCTTTGAACAATCTCTAATCAAGAAAGTCTCATCCTGTATAACACAAATTATTGTAGCAGTTATACTGTACACTGCGGTAAAAAGTATATCATAACATTTACCTGTAACTGCTGTTTGGATTAAAATCGTGCAGAATTAGTTAATTGTAACAGTGCGATACTGTACAGTTGGAAGAAAAACTATTTTTTAAATTTAATGTAAAAAAAAAAAAGCAACGTAAAAAAGTATTTTCTTTATATGTAATTCAGCTTTGTGTTAGTAATTGCCATAAGTTGTATATAATTCGCCAACAGTTTGCTTGATAACAGTGAAGAATCATGTGCTGCCATATTGTACATTGTTAAGCTGAAATCTGTCATACTCTAGTAAATGATCTTAAAGTGAAAATGGGATATTGAAAGTCAAGTTGCTTAAAAGAGAGGAGTTAATGAGTGACTAAGTAGGAAGAGAGTAAAGGCATTATAATTCATTGGTTTTCTATTTGCTTTCAAAGACAGTGTATGGATGAAACAGCTGTTTATGATACAAGGATATGGTCTTTTAATGCTTAATATGACCTTAGAGTTCTAAATTGTAGAGAGTCTTACTCTGATCTAATACATATTTACACTGTTGGGGTAATCTCAGCGTAATACAACTTTTACACAATTGTTACAACAATTTCAATTGTAGTGAGTTTCTCTTAGAACGTGGAATAATAAAATGATACCCACAAAATGTAACAGTGAGAACTAATATTGCTAATAACAGAGAAATAATATTGAAAGGTAGTTTCGGCCATTTACAGGAGTGTTTGGAGCTGACACCCCTGCAGAATCTGTCAACAGGCAGTTCATAGTCATAAGTTCAGTATGTAGGTAAACATTTGCATGACTGCAAATGTTTTAGCAATTTCACTCAGCACAGTGAGGCCCCTCATGTGCCTAAGGAGTTCACGAACCTAAATGTTATCTAGAAAATGTTTCAGATTCTGTGATCTGTCTAACTAGGTCATTCTTGTAGAAAGAAAAATGTTAACAGTGATGGAATGAAGACATCCCCATATTATTTCATGCAAGCAATTTTGTATCATGCCAACATGATATTTCTCATTTATGCAGTAGAAGTGCAGAGGAAAGGAAAATAAAATGTCAGCTTTTCAAAATTAGTATTTCTTTAATTTATTGCACTGAGTGGGTATTCACATATATGGTTCCATATTTTTATCTGTGAGAGTGTTAGAGAATACCATTGAAAAACAAAAAAAATCAACAAAGCTAAGAATTTCAGAGAATTCCAATCATTACCCAAGTTTTAGGTTTTATGTGAATAATAACAAATTAATGTCACTTTAGTAGGAGCTGCAGGAGTTGCTGACCAGAACTGCCAACTGCACCACCAGTACTGAACTTTTTTTTTTCTTTTTTTTAAGGATATGCAGTAAATGAAGAAACCAAGAGATAATATCGATCAAGGAATGCTGTTAATAATGTTAGTGTATCTGATTCTGTGCTTGCTGAAATCAGTAGTAAAGCTCATGGAAATGTCCATGTTTGTGACATGCATGTTCTTTAGAATTTCTTTCTGGTGGATCTGGTGTATCTGCCCTTCACCTTCTGCCTCCAACAGCATTCACAGAATCACAGAATCACCCGGGTTGGAAGGGACCTCAAGGATCATGTAGTTCCAACCCCCCTGCCTAGCAGGGCCACCAAACGTACACATTCAGATCAGGTTGCCCAGGACCCCGTCCAACCTGGCCTTGAACACGTCCAAGGACGAGGCATCCACAACCTCCCTGGGCAGCCCGTTCCAGGGCCTAACTACTCTCCTTGTGAAGAACTTCCCCCTAACATCCAACCTAAATCTTCCCTCCTTCAACTTGGATCCATTCTACTCACTCTGCTCCCTCCAGGCTATGCCTTTCAAAGCTGGAAATTAACAATGACTGCAAAACAGCAAGTTAAGTGGATGCTTTTATGACAAGAAGTTAATTAAAAAGTAAAATCGTGTCCTTAACCTCATCAGTAATGTCTGATGCATTCATCAGTAGACGAATTGGTAGTATATATATGTTGGCAACATTTTAAACTCTGTATTATACATCAAAGTTAGTATGGATTATATGGCTAATTTACAAAAAAACCTGAGCTGCTCTGGACGGTTTTAGGATGTTTTCTCTAAAAGTTTACACCATGAGTTTCAGGATAAATTGTACTCACAGTGTTCTCCTCCAGCAGTGCTGCCTCCGCTTCGTGGCGATCGTATTCTCCCACATACCATTCATATTTGTTTAAGTCCTTAATTTTAAGACATAATAATCAGTGTATAGAAACAAACCACAGCTGCAGAAGCAAATGTCAGTAAAAACAGATTATATCTAATTTGCATTTAAAGCAACTTTATGGCAGTTTATTAAAATAATTATAATGCATCTATATCATGAAATCATTTTGGAAAATCTGTTTCAAAATAAACATCTAAATTGTTATCAGCTCATGCTGGATTGTTTTCGGGCATGTTGAAAGCTCGTGGATTTCAGGCTATTTAATTTCTTAGAGAAATGTTTTCAGTAGGCAGCATTTCTTAGACGTGTGCATGCTATAGACTGATAATCCTGTTTTCTAAAAATCCTTTCCATTAAGTAAAGTATTCTTTACCTTTTGGGTGGGTTGGGCAATATATTCCATTTCCTCTTTTACAAATGAATGTTTCGGTTTATTTTCACATGCTGTGTAGCGTATGGGAGGCGGTGACCTCTTGACTGACACATTCTCTGCATTTACAGTGGACCCTGTGAAAATAAATGTAGAAGGAAAAGAATTGTATTGCTTTTAGTTTGATCTTAATTTTACTCTATGAATTTTATACAATGGAATAGCGTTTGTGGTTTGGTAACCTTTGAAATTTAGAACTGTTTGTTATGATGGCCCTTAGGTCAGCATAGGCAGCAGCAATGTTATCAGATTCATGCCTCAAGAAATATAATGTTTTCTGATGATCTTTAAGGTCTCTTCCAACCTGAGCAATCCTATCATTCTATGAGCATAGCAAAATATTAAATATAAATTATTAATAAAATATCAAATATTACATAGCATAATTAATGGTGGACGTATATGTTCATATGTAATTCTGCTCTGCTTTTACCCATCTGAGGATGTTCAGACAGATGAAAAATGTCTTCCCAAAGCAAGCGATCTGTAGTCTGTATGTTTAATGCTGCCTTCAGCAGAGTATCACCTGGGATCTGTGCAAGCGTGCAAGGCAAGGTGGGAGCATCAAGTGTGGGGTGATGTGGGAAAGCTTGGACTGATTGAGGCAGGTGAGGCTGCAGAGGAAATAACCTTAGAAAAGATTCCAGGTGTATGGTTAGGATGCATTTTGCAGATGCACACCATGAGAAGAAAATGGTTAATTGTAGCGTAAAAGCCTATCCTGCCTTACAACAGAAGGCCTTTCTGTTTCTTACATGCAGCGCTATTTGGAGAAATGACTTAATGACTGTTGTAAATGAGAGGAATGTAATAATTGATGGCTTCCATCTTTTCCTTCTGGTTTGTGTCATAAGAGATAGCACTGCTTGCCAAAATGATATTCTTATTTATTGTTCATGTTTTATCAGTATATTATTCTTCTACCTATACATAAAATATGATAGCATATGAAGGGAGTTCAGAAACTTTTTCATACAGAACAGTAATAATTGTAATTGTTTCACATTTTCATGTTGTATGTACCATGTTCTGGTTTACAGCACCATTACATTTGTCTCTAAGTCTGTAAACAATGTCCACTGATGTCAGTAAGAAAAAAGCAATGTTTTTTACATATTGATTCACATTCAGAGGGCAATTGATCTGCTCAGAAATGAAATTATGAGCCGATTGTGTAAAGGGTTTGGAGCCAAGCATCTACATTTTCTTTCTGTGATCAGATTGAATTGTTAAAGTCCTTCTATGCTGCTATTAGGTTTATTATACCTTGAAGCTGTCATTTGTATTCACATTTCATTTTTGTGACTGTCCCCACATACTTTATTTTTAAAAGAGACTTCACGGTTAGTTCTACATTTGTGATATGTTCTGTAGAATTTCTTTCTGGTGTATCTTAAATTGTAGGGTGAGAAGTGGATGGAGATGCTCACCAAGAAATTAAAGAATGGTTACATTTTTTGCAGGTAATAATTTGTTTTTAGCAACAAAAACTAAAAATATCAGTGTGAAAGAAATATGTGCTTACATATGGTTAAAAAAAAATAAGGTTTTTGCATATATCTAATAAAATCAATACTGTATTTATGAAATATTTTTAAAATTTCAAATGTGGACTTTAAAGAAAATTGTAGGATACCAGGGGGGTATGGGCACTTGTTTGTTCTGTCCCTGTTGCTTCACAAGGGCAGTGTTTGTACAGAGGGAAAAGGACTTGTGCCTGACTGAATGACCAAGAGGAGCAGTGGAAGTTTCTGAACCTGAAATTGGTACAGGGCACTTAGGAAAAAGAATCAATATCAGTATACAGAAGAGAGGAATGAGAGGCTATTGAGAACAGCTGGAAACAGAGGTAAAGGGAGGTTTTCAGTAGATGTGCAGGGAGGGGAACAGATGGAGTTGTGCTGCCACAGTGGCTAAAATGTCAGGAGATACAAGTGGCTCAGTGCAGGGCCACCACCATTGTAGAGCTGGAGCTTGTCACAGGAAGCTGAGGGAGGTGGGCATCTTTGACCTGGGACTAGCTGAGGTTGAGGTAAATCCTACTTCGAACAAATGATAGGGCCTTTACGTGCTTCCTGGTTGTAGTGGAAATGCTAAGTCATGGCTTGAGCCAGTGATTGAGCACCTGGTAGGAAGGCAGGGCCAACCCAAGGGAGCTCAGGTGCATGCAATGAACCTGATGACTAGAAGGGGGTAGAGCCAGAATCCACCCCTTCCCAGACTTCATTTAAGGATTGGCAGTGGGGGCAAGGAATTTTGGGTGGACGATCCCTGCCTGTCTGGGGCCTTCTAAAGGTAAGCAGATCCTTTCCTTTGCTTCTGTGTCTACAGCTCTGCATTTTGGCTTATCCTCACTTGCTGCAGCCTGGGACTTTGCTACCCTGCTATTGTTGCTGTGCTTTCCATCAGTTTATAGTGTTACACTGGTATTTATCTACTTACAGCATAAATTCAGATTATGCAATTCAGGCTGTCAGAATAGCTTGAAGGCTTCTGTTTTTGATAGGGCATTTGCAGAGGCAGTTGAGGGAGAGTATGAAAGTACAGTAAGTGCTGACAATGATAGCAGGAGGTTAACCTGCACAGATGTGTCTGATTGCCTCTGAGTCCCCAAAACCCCTGGGTCTCCCAGGGCACGAACTCTCAAAGAGTTGCTTTTAAAAACAGAAATACAGTATGGGTGAACCCGACTGGTGTACTTCAAATGACATTTGACAGTAGCAGCAACAACAACAAAAAAACAAAACAACAAACCAAACAAAAAAACACCCAAAGCAAAACAAAAAGGATCGTATTATTTATATGTACTCCTTCTACAGTATACATCTTTGTCATTCAATTTCATAATGAAAGGCCAATATTTGAGAGAATTTCCCTTCTAGCATCTTTTCATCATATATTTATGCAAAAAATAAATAAAAATTGCAGAGCACAATCATAAGTTTTTTTCTTTTGCTTGCATAATTCTTACCATAAAGTTGGGTTAATGAATGATTTTTGGTTTTGAGAAGTCTGTAAGCAGATGCTGTTTGTTTAAATCTTATTTATTTCCTTTATGAAAATGCTTTTTAAAGCAATGGAAAGTATGTTGATAAGGAGAGATGAAACATAGAAATTTGGGGCCAAAAGGATTAAATAAAAAGAAGCTTTTTATTTATTTATTTATTTAGTAGAGATAGGTTAGCATGCAACAGGTCCAATGAGATGCAACAGCAAAAAGCTAACACCTCTTAAGGATGTTTGTGGAAATATCATCTTCGAGAATAACGAGACAGAGTGGAGAAACCATTCCTGGGCACATCTAGCTCAGGGAATTGCAGACAGCACAGGGACAATGGTGGGAGTGACACTGCCATGGTTACCGGACACACCACTCCAGGGGCCAGGGCTGGGCACAACCATCACTGCTGGCTCCCAAGCCTGTTTGTTCCTTCACAGAATGCTATGCAGTTCAGTGAGTCATCTATTTCTAGCCATAATATGCTGACAGAACTGTCCCATAATGCTACCTGCAAGTCCCTCCCTCTAGGAATCTGCAGAATTCCCAAAGCAGTTTTCACAAAGAAAAGATCCATGTGTTCACTTAAAGTCATCAAAACAATAGCAGCTGCCAAATAACATCCTCAACATCTGCAGCTTCCAGTCAGCTGACCACAGCTCTGACTGAGAAGGAAGCCTGTGCTGCTTAGTGCCCTTTCTTCATATCTCTTTGCTTGCCCAGCTATTTGCATTCTGCTCCCATCCCCATCATTGTTCAGCAGCTCGTCCCAATCTCCTTGTTTTCCTGAGATCTCAGCTGAGGCATTTCTGAACTTGAGCCATGCACACAGTACGGCCAGTAAGTTCTATTGATTCTTATTGATTATGCTATTGTTTTGTTCTGTCTTTTTAAAACAAAACAAAAACAATCAGTCCCCTTGTACTGGGACTTCTGGAGTGATTAAAGGCCTGGAGCATCTTCCATATGAGGAAAGGCTGAGATAAATATCTAAAATGCAGGAGTCAAGGTAATAGGGGTGGATCCTGATGGGTAGCAAGCAGCAACAGAACAAGGGATAATGAGTGGAAACTGGAACATGAGAATTCCAGTACTAATCCAAGGAATAACTTTACTGACAGAGTGATGGAGCACTGGAATAGGCTGCCCACAGTGACTGTGGAGTCTCCTCCTCTGGAGACTGTGAGCCCTGCTGCAGGGAACTGCTTTAGCAGGAGGTTGGACTCAATTATCTGTGTAAGTCCCTTCCAGCTCCTATGATTCTGTGACTATGTGCATCAAAAATGCCCAGTGCAGACACACACACACACACACACACACACACACACACACACACAGACCCGTAGAGCTGGTGCTTAAAGTGTCACCATAACTGTGATTAGTATTTCTCCATTCCTGGTTTAGTTTTCAAAGTGATCTCTGGTTCTTACCTGAACTGCAAACGTTTTTGGAGCTCTGCGTGTATTGAAAGCTAGGAGAAAGCAATGAAAGGAATGTCAGAAAAATATTTCTCTCAGTGGCAATTGCTTAAGAGTAAGATCACAGAGCAATGTACAGCTGTGCTGCCCCAAAATATTCTTTAATCCTTCAACACATTGATGTTTTTTACACTTCTGGTTTCAGGTGGTGATTTTGTGTTTAACAGCTTTCAGCTGATTTCTCTTCCATTGATTTCTACTAATTTCTCCAGCCACTTTTTGAAGTTACATACCTTTTTTGACCCTGGCAAGTCTTTGCAAGATTTTCATGTTATATTATGATGTTTTGTGGCAGTATTATTTAGGACTGGGAAGTACAGTGGTCAGATAACTTCTCAGAGCCACTGGTACAGTACTAGGGATCTTTTGTGCTGCCACGTTTACTACAGATAATTATTTTATCTTGGAGAAGTACTATTGTCATCAAGAAGGATAGATGAGAGGTTCTGTTCAATCATTCTGCTGCATTTGTCTACTTAAGGAAGGCGTTAAATCATAGACACATTTCCTATACTTTATCCTATAATTTTATATTTTGAGTGGTTTCGGAGGGGTGTCGTGGATTTAGATCGAATAACACATTTACAAAAGATTTATGTAAGCTAAAAAAGTAGGAGAATTGTAGCAGATTTCTATGGAATAGTAATTGGCCTTAAGAAGGCCATGCATATATTCTTCATATATAAAAATAGAAAATAGAATGTAGTGGAAATGCTGAGGCTGGAGGTGGAAGAGTGACTTCATATGGTATGTTTAACACTCTTTCTTGAAAACTTAGGCAAAAATATAATACAGTAGTATGCTAATAAAGATAACAATTCAAGCATAGCCTGAAAGAACTTCCAGAGGATGGTTACTCTTGTGCTTCAGGTAAAAACATAGTGTGTCACTCCATGGCATCAAGAAGTGTTATAATCCTGCTTTTATTACGTAGTGAAGTAAAATTTTTTAGCTGCAGAAAATGTAGGCCTCGAAGCTTCTAGTATAATGAAATTCTTACCTGGTTTTAGGAAGATACTTTGCTTTATACTGTTGATCTTGTACAATCAATTCAAGTTTCTTTTTTGTATCTGTATCAATTAATAAAACGTGTAAGAATTTATTATTTCCTCTTATGTGTAACTTTAACAGTATTTAGCAACTGCTATGAAAAAGAATTAAGTTAACCAAGCTCTTCCAAGGGGAAGCAGTTCAATGGAGAAATAGGCTACAATTAGCTTAATTTAAATCAGTCAACTCATTATTTCCCTGAGAAACATTACTGTAGTACTGAATGTTACATGGTGATGCTGAGCATCACAAGTTTTGCTGGTAATGTATATAATTAACAGAATGGTAAAGAACAGAATGCTATACTAGAAATGTACGGAGAGTTTATAAATCCCTTTTGTAGAGTGGGACAGATAATGAATTATCAATGCAGTCAGTACTGTTTCTACCTGAAAATCAGGAAACTGCACCTTAATTCACAAAATGAACTGGTTGCCAGAAGAAATTATGAACTCATTGACAGGGAGGTGTAAACAGCATCATGATTAATTAGCCTGTGTCTGTCTTTGAGGTATTGTCAAATAAAAAAAAAAATATATATTTTTTTTCCTGGACCTTCATGCATACATACAAACTGAGTGACATAAGGTGTTCTTTCAAAAGCTTTGTGTGCATTTAAAGAATTTATGTATTTGTAAAACACAATTTTAAAACAAAACCAAACCACCACCCATTGTTTTATTTGTAGCTTCCAAAAATCTTTCTTTCAAAATTCTCAGCCTCGCATCTCTCAGGAGAGAGTCAAGATGGAGAGAAAGGAGATGATGTATTGGCAGATTAGAATTGTGCCTGTTTTTTTAACCTTTCAGGATATCCCTCTCTCATATTTTTAAGGTTCCAATATTATTTTTTTTTCCCCTAGGACCTTAAGAATTTGATTTGCCTGGAACGAGTATGTTGCTTGGCTTACCCGGATAGGTGTAGTAAATGTTGAGTTAAATTCCTTTTTCTGCTCAACTCCTACAAGCGTACAGATCAGTCTAAATCTCTCTATTATCAGCAGATGTATATCAATGGGATGTCTAATACTAGTTTGAATATAGGGCCAGACAGATCCTATATAGCAGGATATATGTCAGTTTCCTTTACTGATTACCTCAGATGGAGTTTTAATGATAGAATACTTTGGTCTTGTAATACAAAAGAAAGAAAACAAAATAATATTGTGTAATTAAATACTAACCTTTATCTCTTCCAGATGCCTATATAAAATGATAACACAGTAAATATTTTTCTTTTAATTGCCAACTTGAATTACCACAACAAATCCAAATATCTTTTCAATTTAAAACATTTTATAGACATTCAACTATGAGTACCTGATCACTTTGTCAGAAATTCAGGCTGAATTCTCATCTCAGTCCACTGGCAACAATGAGAAATGAATGTTCAGGGGTATAAATGAACATAGGGTTTATCACAATGATTGCCATTTCATTATTGCTTTCGCACGTCAGTTTAACTAACAATATGGTTCCTCATCGATTTGGTATGAAATAAAGAGATTTTGATTGACTGGAGACACACTATCCGAAGATTAAAATCAGTCATTTCTTTCCAGAGTCCTTAACTGATAGTGTAATTACTTTTGCTGTCGTGGTAGATACTTCATTCAAAATCACTGTGTGGAGAGTCTAAATACAGCATACTATATTACAAAGAAATGAATGACAGATTTCTAGAGACCAGAGTTTGGTGCATTTTCACTATATTTCTGTAGTATTTTGATTCACATGGGAATGGTAACTATTTTGGTTTCTAATTTGTTAGAAGAAAATAATTCATAAATATTAAAGAGAAGGTTTTTTTGCTCTGTGTAGATGTTGCTTCTTTAGTCTTCCCAAAAACTTATCTTCCCATTAATGTTTTTGCATTTCTTAGAAATTGGTTTGACCATTCAGGTTGGAAGGGATCTGGGCAAGTATCTAGACCGAACTTCTATTCAAAGCACAAGATGGTTGGTGAAGTCAGAGGTTTGCTCACCTCAGTGTTACAGACATCCAGAACATAGTCTTCATTGCTTCCCTGGGTCACCTATTCCAGCATCCTCATAGTTACCCTCTTAATTTTTTTGTTTTCCTTTTTTCTAGTTTTCCCCTCTCAATCACCCTGACCGGCAGTTTGGTGTTCAAGAACTTGGCAAGGGTGCATCTCGTCTTCTCCTCTAGATTGTGCTGAAACTATTTATATCTTAGGAGCAATATGAATGGGAGGCGAACCCATTCAAATCCAATTTTGTCTTTTCTGTGTTATGAGATATACAGTATTTCTCCTTAAGTTGTAGCCAAACTATGAGCTTATTAGGAGCTGCAGTATTTTGCACAGCTGTATTGCGACCAGCCAGAAATATTAATTACAGATGTAAGATGTTTATTGTTCTTGGGAGTGTTTTTTATTTGGTTTCTGTAATGAATCAGTATCTGGGACATGGCAAAGCTTTTGTGTTAAAATATTATCTTTCTTGGTAATATTGTTTGGCTTTAAATGTGAATTATAATATTGCAATCAAAGCATGTTTTTAATAACCTCTCAAAGCATAGGAGTTTCAGACCATCGCAGGAGTGAGGTTCTGGGACATCCCTCTGGTTGGGACTGTGCAGAATTAAAATTCAAATCATTTTGAAGTTAGACTAGCTTATAGGATTGTGATACAGCATCTGTGTTAGTAAATGGCTATATTTAGCTGGTGTAGAGGTTCCTTTATTTCCTGTTCTCCCTTGCAGTGAGATAAAAAGAACGTTATAGCAGTGTATTATGCCTTTAAGTGAGTTCATGGCTTTGTGTCTCAGTTTCTGCCCTCTGTCCATAGGCTGCTTAGAGGTGTGGGCGGTGAGGGAGAGCTTTCTGTTGGCAGCCTCTGTTGGAAAGGAGAGCCCAGAGATTCTTCTTTAGCATTACTGGCCTTGAAAGCACTCAAGTGACTCTCCATTTTGCACAGCTTTCATAGACATCTGCAGCATTTGGCACTGATGAGATGCACTTTTATTTGGCTACTTGGGAAGGTTGCTTAACACTGTGAGTGCTTTTATTTCTGTAAGGAACTTCAGGATCTTAACTGTCATTCACAGCACAGCAGTTTTGAAAGTACTATATACATAAAGATATATTTATGACCGAAAATAATTTGGTTATTATAGTGTTTTTACCTATCAGGCTAAGTCATGACTAAAATACTGTTATATCAGAAGTTGTGCAGCCCTGAAAAGTGTATGGTTTTGGCAGCAATAATATATACAAAGATGATTACTTACTTCATTCAGGTCTCTAAAAGATAGATGCCTGGAAAAGAAAGAATTATATGTAAAAATTTCATTATCATAAAATAAAAATGACTGGGAACTTAAATACTTTAGTTACATCGTTCCTGAAAATTAACAGCCCTTGGCATTTTATTACTGCTATAGAAATTCAGAGGCTGGTTATTTTTTGACATAAATTATTTGCAGGAAAAGGTTATAGACTTCCATAAAGAAGAACAGCATCCACGGTATTAATTATGGCAAATGAGAGAAGTCCCATTTAGGATTTTTTCTGAGAGGAGAGGAGAAGAGATATGAACAGTTATAAGCTTTATTCTGTATCCTGCGTCTTATTCTAAAAGTATTATTACAAACTTTAAAGTCAAGTAGAAGCAGGTTTTTTTTTTTTTTTTTTTTTTTTAAAAGACTGAGGATTTTCAAAAATGAAACATTCACAGTGGCAGAAAGTGTAGATAAAAGGAGATGCAAACCAGGAACTCAAGACCCAAGCTGGTAAAGAGAAGTGGAGAATGCTCCTTCTGGTCCCAAATCAAGTTGGTAGTTAGGCATTTTTATGCTGTATTCTGATATGCCTGGTCAACAAGGATACCTTTCCATCCTCAGAGGGGATCACCAGAAAATATTCTGCCCCTCAAAAGGGGCAGCATATCAAATCTGACCTATTTTATTGGATGTCCTAAGTTTGATGAACACATATAGCCTGTATTTCATAATAAAAGAGATTGAGGTCTAGATTTTAGAAGATTTTTAGGAACATAAGATATGGATAAGCACCTGGTAGTTTTCCAAAGGCTCCAGGTTTCTGAAAGTTCAGTGATTTACTAAATCATTCAAAGAGGATGCAAAAGGAAGAAAGTATATAAAAAGTCCTGGGAGTTATGTTTCAAGACTTCTTCAGTGAGGAGGGGTCTCTTCTTTTTACCTGTGCTGAAAACATAAGCATGGTGTGTTTGAAAAACAAGAGATTTGGGATCTGTTGGAGGGACATTTCTGCAAGGGTAGGAGAAAGGAGAGGACATGTTTCAGGTTTGGATAGATGCTTTTGTGTTAACGTGTGATTTGTTAGCTTGGTCTCTGAGGTCATTTTATGACAAGCAGAAGACTGCTTAGAATGTTGGGTGCCTAGTAAAGTTAAGCTGCAGTCCCTACATGTGTTTTCTCCCTACCAAGCTATGACTGGATTGGTGATGGGTGACAAGTATTTCGAGTGAAGTGCTTATGTGGGAAATATGTGAAGTGCCTTCCCAGATAATGTGTGGTTTTAGTCTGTGCTGCCCCTCTCCTACCTCTGAGACTGAAAAATCTGTTACAATTCACATATCTATGCTTTAGAAAAATTTTGGTATTTATAACTGCAATGTGGAATCTTGTGGTTATGATTTTTTTTCTGCCTCCTTTCACTTCTAGGATAAGAAATTACTTGTATTTATATTAAAGAGTTTGGCTTTGTAATAGGACCTTTCAAGTCCAAGTGCTTTGCATACTGATGCTGGCAAGTGCAGCCTGTAGTAGTTCTCACAGCATTCGTTTTATGTGCTGCCCTACCAAGAGGAGGGATCAGCCATGGGATTTGGAACTTCTCAATTATAGGTCTGGTCATACATCTGAATATGAAGCTACTTCATATTAATAAAATGTCTTAACAACCAACAGCTTTAACCTAATCCTTGAAAGAATTTAAGTGCCATTCAGGAAAAATAAAGCATACTCAGAGCTAGCTCTTTAAGTATATACTTGAAGTAAATTTCTTCATGGATTTGTTAGCTGTTTTTTTTTTTTCTTTCTTTCCTTGTGGGATTTGTATTATAGGATTTTGACTCTGGTGACCTTTTATAAAAATGAAGCGAAATTCCACCTCGATGAACTGAAATTGAATGTATTTGCAGAAGGTTGGGTAGAACTGACATGGCTCAGTTGTGGCTAAAATTCTGGCTGCAAAAGGTTTTCACAGAGGCACTGTGCATTATATCCAACTGCCCCTGGATGTGTATCAGTTCTCAGCATGTCCACTGCCTGCCTCATTTATGTACATATATTTTGGTCACATGGGAGTGCACATGTATCTGTCTACAGGGCAGTGAGTAGCACATATTCATTTTCATGTAGCTCAATATATTATATGAAAATAGCAGTCAGTCTCGTAACTTGACATAAACATGCTCTATCATACAGCTGAACACAACTGCTGGACTCAGCCTCTATCCATGCTCTCCAAATGCTGTATGACCATGTGTGTTGTATGACGTAGGAGAAGCTGGGGGGATTCTGGCATAAAAGATTGTGGCAGCTGGAGCAAGATTTCTGGCTACAGATTTATCATCTCTTTTGCTGAATGTAATATCCTTGGGATATGAAGGTATTTCTGTATCTCTCTGGTACAGTCAGGTTATTTCCCCATACTTGGCTTTCCATTACCAGCTGTGCTGAGCAAATGCAATTACTTTTACTTAGAAGTGATTGCCAAACCTCTAAATACTAGTGGAAAAAAAAAAAAAAGGACTTTAATCAAAGTGTTCATGAGAGTTCCACCTACTTTTCCACTCCTTTACCTCTTTACTGCTATTTTGGCAGTTTTTTCTTTAAGAAATGCTGGTATCATATTATGCTAAATACTACTTCTCTTGATTATTCACAGCTGTCTAAAGAATCAACAGCTATTTTCTTAAGTATAGGCAGAAGTGCGATGGAGAAGTCTGGTGGTTTTGACAGGGAGGGTGTTTTGATTCTCAGGAAATCAGCATGAATAAATGTAGCAGTACCTTGTGGGCTTTGCTGATACTGAAGAAGTATGAGACTGGCTGGGTGTTTCCCTGGTGTGGAGGACATGGCTGCTTTTCTCTGGTGCTGGAGGAAGTGGATGATACTGTTTTGGCAGTGTCTTCAGAGGCCTGAAAGAGCCAAGGGAGAATTGGAAGAACTTTTAGGGAATGAAGGAGGTGCAAAGACTGTGTTGTAAATGCAAGCGCAAAAGGGAAAACGCTGGGATTTTCCAAGAGTATTTCAATGTATTTGTGCTGAGCTTGATTCAATAGCAATTATAATTTTAGATAATATTCTACATTTGCAAGAATGTGCTGTACTGTGTTCTATGCTACTTAGCACCGCTTTCATGCTCTTCTCCAGTACATGCCAGCTCTTCAGTGCTGATATCTCTGGGTGGGTAAGGCCCAGCTGGGAAATGCCCTCCAGCTTAAGTAATATAGAATCATAGAATGGTTTGGGTTGGAAGGAAACTTTAAGATCATCTAGTTTCAATCCCCCTGCTATAGGTGGGGACGCCTCCCTCTAGACCAGGATGCTCGCAATTCCATCCAGCCTGGCCTTTAACATGTCTGGGGTGGAAGTGTTGACAACCTCTCTGGACAAACTGTTCCAGTGTCTTCCCACCCTCACAGTAAAGAATTTCTTCCTGATATCTTGACTAAATCTATCCTCTTCCAGTTTAAGGTCATTTTCTTGCAGTGTTCAAGAGGCATCTGGATGATGTGCTGCATGATATGGTTTAGTGCTAGTGGTGGCAATGGTGACGAGCAGACTTGGACTAAATGATGTTATAGGTAGTTTCCAACCTTGTGATTCTATGATTTTCTTGTCCTGTTACAATATGCCCTTATAAAAAGTCCCTCCCCTGTTTTCCTGTAGGCCCTTTCAAGTACTGGAAGGCTGCTACAAGGTTCTCCTAAAGCCTTCTCTCCAGGCTGAAAAGTCCCAACTCTCTCAGCTTGTCCTGGCAGGTGGGGTGCTCCAGCCCTCTTTGTGGCCCTCCTCCGGACCTGCTCCAACGCCTCACCTTGTGTTGGGGGCCCCAGAACTGGAATGTTCTATAGCTCTGATCATATTTTAAACCTGCTTACATATCCTACTGTGTTCAATACAGGCATTGAGGAATAAACTTAGCAGTTTGGGATTACCTTTCTAAATTGTTTTATTTGTAGCAACTATAATTGTTTGAGAGTGGGGAAAAAAAAAATAAATTAAAAAATGTTTTTTTTTTGTTGGCATATGATAGAAAATTTTTTTCATACGTGTTCATGGAATAGAACTTGGTCTGTCTACTGTGGGGAGTAAATAACTGCAGTTGATTTCTATTAACATGATTTGAACTTATTTAAAAAAAAAAAAAAGCAGAAAGATTTAAAAGACAGTGGAGATGATATGGTATTGTGAGTAGAATCTAAGGAAATTAGATAAATGAAGAGTTTCCCTGTCCCCGTCCCCCAACAATTTGTGGCTGCATTGGACCCGATTCCAGATTTCTGGACATCCTGTGTTGGGAAAAGCATGAAAGCTATTTCTGAATTGATCTTACCGTGGGGGAGGCAAGGGTTTCTAGAAAAGAAAAAACAAAAATATGTTTGAGCTTTTCTCCCTTGTTTTACCAGCAGAAATATAAGTAGTTCAGATAAAGCAGGTATCTCTGTGTCAACAGGCAAAGTTTTATGTACTCCACAACACATAACGTAGGTTTAAATATGCCTCTTTAAAATCACTGAAGAGTAAAAGATGTCACTGTAAACCATGAATGCAAATTAGTGAGGTAACATAGGCCTGCAGACTTCTCATCCTTCAGTTAGTGCTAGCAAAACTGGAGTGTGCTTTTTACAAATACATTCCACAGCGTAACAGCTAGTGCAAATGTAATTGGTCAGAGACTGCTTACCTGGAGTCCGTGTGTTTTCACTCTTTTTCCTAAGATAATTATTAATAATTGTTAGTTGAGCACTGTCTACATATAGCTTTATCCCAGAATTGTTATTACTGACAGCCCACCCTCACCCACCAGCTCATTGCCACCACATTCATCCTGCAAACATATCCACATTTTTCCTGCTTCCTAATGGTTGACATTAATTAACATCAACCTATATGTAGGGGCTGGAAGCTTCAGTGGTTCAGTGAGAGATTGTTTGTGGGAGTGAAGGCTGAGGCTGCTGGAGATGGGATGAGCGCACGCTTTGTGTTGGCCAGACTGGGCCCTGAATTTTAACGTAAGTGCAGTGAGTTTTGTTCTATATTTTATTTTGTCTTTTCTGAGGATGGATTCACAGATAGATTGAAATGCAATTTAAGATTCCTTCTAACAGTTTGTACCTCTCTCCAATTAAATACTAGACTATGTATACTTAGATAATTGTGGCAATCCTGGAAATATTGAGAATCTTTTTGTACTGCAGCCAGGTGAATCTTTCTAAATGACATTCATTTCATAAGGGACATAACTATTACCTGAAGTTAAAGTAGGAAAAAAAAAAAGGATGTTTTATTACCTCAAAATATAAAACAGAGCAGATAAAATAATCTTCATGCTACTTGATAAAACTGCATGAAGTTTGCTTTTGTCCCTAGCTTTCAAAGTGGCATATTTGAAGCTGAAATTTATTCAGATATTTTGTAAAGTTAAGTATTGTTCTGAGACTTTATTGTGTGCTGATTATTTGTGGGGTTTTTTTTTTTGCTTGTTTTGATAAAAAAATATCTGTTTTCTGTTATTGCTCTTTCTGAGTTTACAATTATTTGACTGATTTTAAATGCATATGGGACATCCTGCTAGTTAAAATAAAATGCATAGATAAGATTTTTACTGTATTTGCAGTAGAGTTTGGTTTGTTAAATATTTTTAGAAGTTTTATGTACAGACATCCTAAGTAATGTGAAAAATGGTGAAGTAGAGCCTGGATTCCCCCTCAGGTAAGCCATAGCAAATTGCTCTGAACTAAAATAATGGCACCTTAAGTATTTAGCAATTGGAAAAATTAGCTATTGGAAAAAAAAGTTTTTGTGTTATTTATGCCATCTGGTGGCAACGCCGCTTAATAGCACTTTGTATGAGAATAAATGTTAGGATATTTAACAACAGGGTAGTTACTTAAAAATAATAAATTATCCACAGGCACTATTGGCTCAGGAAGTACTCAAATATATGTGGGCTCCATCCTCAAATTGCAGAATTCAAGTTAGCTGCCTGCACAGTCCTTATTTCATCTCTCTTGATATCAGCACGTACCTTGTGCTGGCAGACAAACAATGAAGCCAATTTCAATTCAACATGGAATTTGAGGCTTTATCAAAGCTGGCCAGCTGTCAGATATACCTATAACATTAATTTCTGCAGATTTTGAAGGTGGCCAGCTCTTATTTCAGCTTTTGTACAAACTATATCACTATTTGCTCACAAGATTCAGTTTTTCATTTTGTGAACTTCATACTGCTTAATTTCTTATAATCTATGGGAATTATTTGGTTCAATCCTTTGAGTATGGAACAAAGGGGAAAAAAAAAACCCAAACAACCTTATATTGCATGGGATTCTTTGCATTACTTTTCTGGCTTGTCGGATGTCTGAAAATTTACAGTGAACATGGTGATCATATTTTCCTGGGTTGGTAATTGCTTTCTTTCTGACCATGGTTTGGATATGGTTCAAAGATTTGAAATGATAAATGAAAAACCATAATTCTCTTTCAAGGTGAATTGAACATCTAATTCTTCAGTTGTCGACACTGTGATATATTGCTATATCTTAAGTATACAAAAAATGTAGAAAAATGTATAGAAATAAAGTGTTTAGAAATATACTTTTAATAGAAACTAATTCTTGATTAAAATTGTAAAGAATTTAATAGTTGCAGACCTCATTAAATTCCTAAGACTCAGACAGCAGCCTGTATGCAATTCAATCACAAAAAAAACAAAACAGAACAAACAAAAAATGAAAGGCATATTTACAATTCAAAAATGTAGAAATTTGAAGCTAATTTAAAGTTAATGGCAAAGGAGCGGAGAAGCAAATTTACAGCAGGTAATTCTATAGATTTAGTGTGTTCTGAACAGAAGAATATTGTCAGGTAGCTTTTGTAAATATGTTGGTTGCTCTGAAAGTAATGCCTTCTACTTATTTCCATGGAAATGACATCAGGTACAATGAGCTCAATTTGATAGAGCAAATTCTCTTCAAAATACTATTTTGCAGCACACAATCATTAGCTATGCATTTTTGCTAGCAATGAACAGGAGCCTGCATGTCGTGCACCATCAGAGGTGACCTGCTTCTGCTGTTGCCGCTGTTGAAATGCACCGCCCACCTCCTCACTGTGCTCACGTTCACTGTTTGGTCTCCATAAATATTCAGCAAGCATTGAGGAATGTCAGTGAGTGCCATTTTTGTCTGCACGGAGGAGTTCGGTGGCACACCTTTTCTTCATGTGCTCTTCAGATGCCATTTTGTTAGACTGCCCCTTTGCTGCCATCAGTCACACGACAACAAAATGTAATGGAATATTGGTGGGAAGGCTCAGCCTCTACTGCCATCCCGACAACATTTGCCTCTGATGCTGTGGGCTATTATAATAAAACAGGAGGCATTATTTTTGGAGCAGCCCTTTTACATTTCTATTGAGAAATTGAGGTTCTGGATTAAAGTATATCTACTTTTTTTTAGACAATTCCCTTAGTATTGGGTTGTTGAAATAGTACTTGAAATTTAGCAGCAGGATCATTTGGGAAAGCGGCTGCTGTTCTGAAAACAGTTTTTTCTATCATCTGCAATGTCTATGTATGTATCAAAGCTAAATATGGAAGCTCTGTTTTCTGATTGAACAACTAGATAGACTTTTTAATTATACCTTCAACATTTGACACGCTCCTCGCCTCTAGAGCAGACGTATGTTTCTGTAAATAAAATCAAATAAAGGTGTGATGTTAGGCATCATACTTGAAACTGCAGCTGGTAAAAACAGTGCTATTCTTGACTGAGATGCTGCAAATGGTAGATCCATTCTTGACCTCAGGCATCAACAAAAGAAGGTGAGCTGAGAGGATGTTGCATAGCAAAACAGGATCCTACGTGACCTTGCAAAAATCAAATTGTTCATGGCTTAGACTTCAACTGGAGTGCATGTAGCTTTATGTTACATGTTACAGAATAGAGGAAATGCGTTTGCAGACAGAGCTTATGGTCTTTACTTACAGGCAAGTACTGAGTGGGCTGAGGTGGGTGACTGCTTGTGTGGGTAGTACCTGAAGGCTTCAGACAATGTTTATCTGTAAGAGGAAGAAAAAGCAATCTTGAGTAATTCTTTCTTTTGAAAGATGCTGTCTTTCAAGATGAAGAAATTTTAATGTTTAGAATATGGTTTTGATGTCAGGCATTGCCGTTTTTATAGCATTTTCATTTTGCCTTTCCTTCCATATTACTTTAGTAGAGGCACTGATCACCTACCTCACAGTGGTAATAAATAAATAAATAAATAAACCTTTGTTAGCTGGTACACAGTTAAAGAGCAGTTAAGCTGTGAGCAGATCTGTGAATTTGATCATTATCTTGAATGAATTACTGGGGCTTAGTGTAAGGTGGAGGGGTTTGCCCTTCATAGAACTTTTAATTTTACTTTAGCTTCTAATAAATACTGCACTCATGGCCCACTAGAAGAAATACATGAAGTGTGAACTGGCATGTGTTCTCAACTGTATGTCTAGGGCATTTTTAATTTTCTAGGTAAGATGGCAAAATGGGATGGTATATGAATTTTTGCCTTTTTCAAGTACATTTCAAAACCTTTCTTCACACCTGTATCATATCATACTTACTGGGCATAACATGAAGGTAAAAAAGCAGCATTTTGTTTAATTTGGTTTCTTTTTTTTTTTTTTTTTTCTCCCCCTCAGGACAGTCTTGTAAAAACAATAAAGATGCTGTTTGTGGACTGAAAGTATTTTCTACTACCCAAGATAAAAAGAGTATAAGTTACTTTAGATTTCCAAGTAAAATACCTTAAAGAGTCTTTGTACGTTACATAGAGTATCTGGTTCTTCAGAATGTCTGTGATCAAGTAAAACGTCATAATTGCTTGGCAGGAGAGACACCATGATGTGAGGCTCATCCCTTGAGCTCTAGGTGTATTTACTCTTGTGATTTCCCCAAAAGCAGGAGATTTGTCTGCATAATATGTGGTACTGGGGAACTGTGGTTTGTCTGTTTGTTTGTTTAATTTTACCAGGGAGACCTTACAGCTCCCTGCAATTTCCTGAAAGGAGGTTGTAGTGAGGTGGGAGATGGCCTCTTCTCCAAGATGACTGCAACTGGATGAGAGGTAACGGCCTCAAGTTGCACCTGGGGAGATTTAAGTTGGATGTTAGAGAATAAAACCTTTCAGAAAAGGTGGTGAGGCACTGAAATGGGCTGCCAGGGAAGTGGTGGAGTCACTGTCCCTGGGGGTGCTCAAGAAATGTGGAGATATGGCACTGAGTGGTGTGCTTAGTAGGACATGGTGGAGATGGGTTTGTAGTTGGACTAGATGATCTTAGATGTCTTTCAACCTTAACGTTTCTGGGGTTTTATGATCAAATACACTCCTACAAAAAACAATGGAAAATCTTAATGGTATTTGATGTGAACTGGAGAGAACTTTCATATGTATATATTGATCCTGTATGTTCAGATATTTTTGGCTTCTGCTTTCCATTCTTAGTCATCTAAAATTTTTCTCAATTTTAGAGTTATTTTAGATCTTTGTAATATGTTAATTCTAGACATAGGTATCTGGGATGATATTTAGCTTCTGCAGGCTGGATATTATTTGTTTATGTATATTTGGGCATTAAATTTGATTTCAGATTGCTTTAGTAACCCAAAACGTGACTAATGCAATTATCTTGTAAGGCTAAGAATGCTTGAGAAATACATTCTAAGTACTTTCTTATTATTGATGTTACAAGTGTCAGAAAATGCTTTTGACAAGCCTGCTACATTTGTTCATCTGCAAATTATAATCTGAAGGAAACTTTTTAATGTTTCTAGTGTGTATTCCATCTCAAAGTTTTCTAGGCTTGAGTAACAGTGTGCTTTCCTGTAATGGTTGTGGGTTTGACCAGTCAGATTTTGAAGATTTAATATGAAATGAGATCATAGAATGAGATCATGAAGGCAATACCATAATGAAAAGAAATCAGCGATTATTAATTTAACATAATTTAATGGGAAAGAAGGGTAAGTTTTGAATATGCAGTTGAAGATAAAGCTCTTCTCTTGTCCCTTCCCATTAGTCTTTTATTTTTCAATTAAACTATATCATTAAAAAAATATATAGAAAAAGCAATAGAAAATCTGAATGAAAACACAAAAAAAGTGTACTGTTCCTATTTATGTCTATGTGTGGCTCACTTCCAGCAGACAGAAAAAGTTACCTGCGTATACGGAATCCTGTTGAGGTTTGGGAGGAAGGATTCTCAGATCTTGGACAGCCTCCAGAGTGGAAGAACTTACTGTCTCATAAGCATCTTCATCCGCATCAGATAGTTTGGAGGATGATTTTAACTCATCCTGTCCCCTCTTTGTGAAATGTTTGTCCTACATAGAAGGGCGGGATATATACAGATAATGCAAACAAGTTTAAGTTCAAGATTAACTTAATATTTGGAAATACTTGAGGTCCGGAACCAGGTATTTTGGTACATGGGACATTTTCTGTTGGAAATTGATAGGTTGGACTTGAGATTACTGTTGCATCATCTCAACTGAAGGTACCCAAAGTTCAGTAAAGAATGTATCAGAGACAGTATAGGTGTATCCACCCACTGTGTGCTTGCAGCTTCCCTGTTCTTTATTTTAATCTGCTCTTAAATATTGTGCTAATGGGGAATCAACATCTTCCCAAGGCGTTGTCTTCCACTAGCTGCCTGTCCTTTTGGTTAATGCTTCTTCTGGAGTGCTACAAATTATACCAGTTTGTTTCACCCTCTAAAGGCACGCACAAATAATTGATTATTAACCACTTTATTTCAACTTTTATTATACTCCATGTTTACAATTGTATTTTCTTTTAGTCTTCTCACTCCTAGACTAAGCAAGAACAGGTCCTTAAGGCCTTTTCTGAGCTCTCAGCCAACTCAAAGGATTTTGATCCTTCTATCTGCAGTATTACTTTTCTGTCAACTCTTCAAGGCTATGCACAGCTTCATGAAAACATCAGGGAGATGTCCAAGAATATACTGTTTTTGATGATACATTTCAGGGTAATGTTTGTCTTTCTATAACTGCAAATGTTAATTAAAAAAAAATATACCACTATACTCTGCACACACCCTGTATGACACATGGATTTTACAGGGTATTCTGCTGGGTAACTACTTCCAGTTCAGTAGCAGAGCTCTGGGAAGTACAGTGAGGGTTGATATCTTTTTCAAACAATTGAAAATATTACAAATATTTACAGATTTTTACAGTTTGCTTGTGAAATTCTCTTCTGGGAAATGCCAAAGACCTAACAAAATTTAAGATACATCATATCTACTGCTTTCTTTTTTCCCATCGTTGTATTTCTTCTAAAAAGAAAATTATTTATGTTCGATGAATCATTGTCCCTGTTCACATTATCAGTATTTTTTAAATAATTAGACATTTTTTCATAAAATGCTTCCAAACTCTGGTAGCCTCTCCAGGTATCCAGTACACCCTCAGGATCTGCTATAAAAATAATAATAATAATAATAAAAATTGAAGTTGCCCCTGTTTCTCCCTGTTGCTTTAGGAACATTTTAGAATGATCCCAAAGATAATCAATTAATGTCTCAGAAATTACTTCAAATTCTTCTTTAGATGCTTTAGTATAAGTAAATGCTGTCCTAGCAGTTCTTTCCCTGTACTGTTCTGTGCCATTACTGCCTTCTAGTTGGTATTAATTCCATGTAGTATCTGACTGTAATTAATTAACCTTTCTGAAGCAGCCAAAATATTGATTATATCAGCCTTCTTCACTCATCCTTTATTTGTTCAGCTTGCTCTTGGAGCAACAGATCTGTGCTCTCTTTTCCTCTTTCTCTAACTTGTAAGGTATTTGCAGTCTTTTTTTATACGCCTGACATCTGAAGCTCGAGCTTTTGCGCAGAAGTGGAAGGATGTTTAAAATATGTACTGTTATCTTTTCAGCTTTTATTTGCATTAGTTAGTTATTAAACCTGGAGGCTTAGGATTTTTGTGCTTGTTCATCTTGACTCCTGCTACTTTTGCATGACCTTACAATAAAGGACTATTTCAGATACATACTGTAAACAGAGAATTAGGTCAATTCAATTAGCTCCCACTAACACAAAGTAAAAGTTGTTCTACGTACTTAAAAAAAAAAAAAAAAAAATCCCTTTAAAATTCCCCATTGAGGACTAGGTTTTCTGCTACCAGTGTTGTAGCTAGAACACACATTTAGGAGTGAAAGAGAAAAATTTAGGAGGAATGAATACTTACAGTACAATATGTATTAGCAGGAACTTTCCTTCTTTCATTTTCTATGTGAAATAGAGAAAAAATGTCAGCAGATATCATTCTGTAGAAAAGGATACAATAACTAGTAGCTTACGTGAAGGAATAAAACTCTGTCATCAGCGCAGTATTTTAAAGATAAGTGGTTTAAACAAATGACAATTCACCCATGAGTTTGTTGACCTGTGCAGAGCATGAATAAGTAACTCTGTAGCTATTCACAACCATTAGCTTGTCTGAGCCCACTCACAGAAACCACTCAGGGGCTCATGCTTGAGCTCTTCCTTGTTTTTTGAGTTTTGCTGCCTGGTGCAGAACTGCATGGTTTGCTGCTGTTAAGCTCAGGGATCATGGTCTGGAAATCCCTCTTCTGCATAGAAAAATATCTTGTCCTTTTAATGGTACAAGAAAGTCTGACCTCCTGCTTTCAAGATGGAACTAGAAAAAGGGTTGTGCTGATGTCTTTGGTGTAATAGCACAGAATCTGCAGCTTTTGCCCAGGAGATCGGAGTCCTGGTTTCAGTTTGGGAAGCTTCAAATTCACAATTCCCAAAATCAAGAGCAGCAGTATCAGGCTGCAAACTGTTGCAACTGGTAGCTGTCTGCCAATGGATGTTATGATATCAAGAAAAGCACACTGCAGATCCAAGGGGACGATGAATAAGAAAGTGAATTTGTTTGAGAAGAGTTCTTAGTTTAGCCCTTAACTTGATTTACACTTTTAATCTAGGGACTGGTGAATGCAAAACAGTCACGGTATGTACATACCCAGCAAGTGCCCTTGTCCAGACTGTTGAACAAACCCTTGCACAGCTGTCTTTAGCCTCATGGATCTTGTATCTGTGGCTGCATAATAGTCTGGTTTCAAAAGCTGAGCATTAAAGTTCTTCTGTCAATAGTAACTTATAACACGCTCCTTTTCTAGTTCAGTGCTGAAAGTAGATTGTCAGATTATCTTGTGCTGCCCTAGTAACCTGTCTTCCAACGATGTTCTGAAGGAAACCAGTCTACATACACAGCCTCTTTAAAATTATTGAAGTGTTTTTTTTTTAATTTTATTTAAGGTTTCAATAATGTATGAGCCTGTTATTGCAGAGTGTTGTATGCCCCAGCAGATGGCATTCAATGTTCATTTATACAACACAGTGTTTTAATCTCTTACACAGAGGGTCATGAATGAGAGGCAGAGTTATTCATGTGAATTAGTTGTCTGATTTCCTGTTTAGTTATGCTGATGTGGATCAGAAATAAGCCCAATTAAATCAATGGCACTGAGGAAAAGTGATGTAGATAAGAGGATAATTAGACAGGGCCAATATAACAATGAAAAGACAGTCACAGTCTTTAAATAGTTGTCCTTTTACTTCTGTTAATAAAAAATGTGATTCTATCTTCCACAGAGAACAACAGAATTGAAAAATAGTGGTAAACATTAAAGCTATTAAGCCACATGTTTCATGACTTAACTCTAAAAGGGGGCAGATGTGAGACTTCAGGATGATTTATTGATATTTAATGTCAGTTTACAAACTGATGTCCAGGTTAGTCTATAATCTATTCTGTTACCCAGCAGTCACCACAGCTTGGAGGAACTGCTGCCCTCTCTCTCTCCTTTTGAGAAAGTGTGCTTTGTGCAATGCCAGTGAAGGAAGAAGTAGAGTTGCTGGTATCCTGTGGATATTCCTTTTACATGAGATGAATTTCCAGATATTTGCTTTGAGTTAGCTACAGAGTGCACACCAGATTGAATTTGCTCCTCCTGTAATTTAAGAATGTCATTTTGATAGTAAGAATGAATGTTTCATTTTGTCATCTTTGCTAGAAATATTGGGCCATAGACATGCTAGAGATACTGTAATGAAAAATGCTGGCTAGGTAGTGAAATGCTATGAAAGAGACTCACTGCTTAGGAAGAGATGATTTCCGTTATTTACTATATATGCATTCTAGGTGGATGGGGCCCTGGGCAATCTGATCTAGTTGCTGGTAACCCTGCCTGTAGCAGGGGAGTTGGAACTTTATGATCCTTGAGGTCTGTTTCAATCCATGCCATTCTATGATTTTATGATTTTATCATTCTAGAACTTCAAATCCCCTGAATCAATCTTCCTGTTGTATAGGTATGAAAGAGGACAGAATCACTGAATCATGGAATGGTTTGTGTTGCAAGGGACCTTAAAGATTATCTAGTCAGATGCTACTTACTAGAGACTCTTCCAAATAGACCTTCTTGCCTAAAGCCCCATCCATACTGGCTTTTAATACCTCCAGGCATAGGGGATTGTTAGCTTCACTGGACAATTGGTTCCCTCATCATGAAGAATTTCTTCCTCGTTTCCAATCTAAATCTACATGCTTTCATTTCAAAGCTCCTGCCCCTTATTCTGTTATTACAGGTTCTTATAAGAAGTCTCTCTTCATTGTTTTTTAGTCTCCTCTAGTTATTAAAAAACCACTGGAAGGCCTCCCTGCAGCCTTCTTTTCTCTATCCTGAACAATTACAACTCTTTAGCAGTTTTTCATATTTTTACCAGATAGTTTGCAATCAAGGGGATGTTCTCCATCAGTATTTTTTCAGCGAAATATGACAACTTACAGCTGGTGGGACTTTTCTCAAGCTATAGAAACTGAACACCTCCAGCTCAGTATTAAAATTTCTTATGCTACAGCCTCAGTCAAAACTAATAGATGGAGTGTGTCAGTTGTAACAATAGTAAGGAGTTATATTTCTGTGGCATATGTGTGGGTGGGCTTCTGCCAGCTGACAGAATGTCTGATGCAAAAGGACAAAAGAGAAGAAATGATTTTTTGATTAATTTGCAATGAAATAGAATTGCGTGTATTTTGTGGCAAACTTTTTATTGGTGACCTAAAAAAAGGCTGTTCAAAAGGGTGACAGGTTAACAATTTCTGCTTGAAAACCCAATATCAGACTTGCATCCCTTATTTAAATGAAAAAGCAGAAGTTAAATTGTTTCCGTGGACTTCGATGAGTCTATGAGTGCACTGTGGGTTTTTTTCAGTCATTTTTGTGGTGTTTCAGCAAGTGACAGAAAATGATAAAATGTTGTGGGCTATATTTCAATGAATCTCATGATCCTTACAGAGTGTCTCTTAGCCCTTCAGCAGAAAAAAAAAAAAAAAAAATGTAGCTGAAAAATAGCAAGGAAGAATCTGCATAGGAATTTTCAGTGTCAATATTTCTGGTCCGAAGTACAGTGTAAAAATGTCAGTATTTTCCTCTGGCCTCTAGAGATGTTAGGTAAGACAAGCAAAGCCTTCATAAATCATATGACTATGATTCCAGAACCAAGGAAGAGACTAGGCAGTCTTCTCTTCAGAGACTGTGAAAAGCATGTGTAAAAAACGTCACTTTTGTGAGCTTTTGTGGTATGGCTAGTTATCTATCTATACGGAATAAAGGATATACTGCTGGATTGTTGAGTTATATTTTTCCAGAACTGCTATTTTTTTTTTTTTCAGCCTTAAATCTAAATCTTATGTATTATATTGCATCCATTTGAGAAAACTTCATATAACACAATAAACATAGTGTACCAAATAAATTTATCTGGATGGTTGTGCCCCCATTTAGTCAGATAATTTATGTACTTTGCATTAGACATCTCTAAGGATGTTAGAGCCAAAGTTGTGAAACACTGCCATTTTTCAAATGGATAGGATCTGTGCTTAAGAAGTAAATGGGATTCAACTACATGCTTAGTACTGACCATAACTGCCATGGATTGAGATTCGGAGCTCCTATGTCATTGTCCCATTGCTTTGGAACAGCAAAAAAACAGATTGTTTTAAAAGCGGTGCATCCTTTTAAATTCCCTCAATTGCATTCTAAAAGTTATCAGCCAATGTGAGGTTTTCAGTTTCCAGCAGGATGACCACTCGTATTCAACTTGTTTCAATGTATAACATCACGAAACCAACATTTTTTGGAGCAGCCTGGAACTAAATGTCTTCTTACTTTCTTCATTAACAGATATCCAAGAACTTAGCTTTCTTTTCCTTCTTTTCTTGCAATTTATTTATTTATTTATTTATTTATTTATTTTGGGGGGGGGGAGGGGGAGGAGGTTGGAGGAGGGGGGAAGTTATTTTTTTGTTTTGTTTTATGATGTTAAAATATTTTGGCCCTTCTTAATTAGGAGTAATTATTGACTGAGTAATTATTATGTCAAAAAGATATGCTGTAGTACTTCTTTTTTCAATACTAAAAGAATTTTACCTTTTGGATGTATTTCCAGATGCATTTCTGCAAACAAACTTGGGCAAGAACTAAGGACATAAAAAAAATCCGCTTAAATATTAGAAATTACCATTGATCTATGAAAATTTTCAGACAGTCTAACTTAGCTGAACAAGTGCAAGCTGCAAGTACAATAATTTAAACTTGAAAAACAATTTGTTAGATACAGAAATTCAGCATTTTTGGCAATCTCTTACAGCCTCAAATTTGGATAAGTAGAACTCTACTGATGCTACAAATATCAATTTTAGACATGGATATTGCAAAAACGTTATTAATGCTTTTACATCTTCAGAACATAATTTGAGGGATGATTTTGCTTAGGGAAATAGGATCTAAATCTCTTTTAGCATGTGGCAGTGCCTCTGCACATGGCTCCTTTCCCCTTTTGCCAGCTCCCATGGGTATCACAATTTCCCCCAACCCTGTCATGATATTCCATCTTGCTTTAGGATGGAACTCAGCTAGTAGGAATATGTGGGATACGCTGAGTTCAGAAGAAACACATTGACAGGTCTTGATTTAACCCTGTTGTCAAGGATGATAGTTCTCTCACTATCACCCTCTTTTGTTACTGGTACTTGGCCCATTGTCAGCCTGACCAGTAGCATACACAGATAATTGCAGTACTATAACTCAATATTCAGAAACAACTATTTTTCAGTGAATATGCAGCCAGGGTTTGCATTAGGATTGTATTAACACACTCTTGTTTTACCTAATTTCTGAAGGCCCTTGGAATTACCCAAAGTTTGTGAAACAACTAAGCTTCAAGTGCCCCACTATTCTAATTACAACAAAATTTCTTTTAGCATCAGCTTTCGAACACAATGAAGCTGAGTGGTTTCCTGTTTAGTGAGCAGTCTGTAAACCACAGTAGATTCATTTGGTCTTTGCTGTTTGCTGCTTAGAGCATGGCCACATTAATAATAAAAATTCTATTGAAGTTAATTATTGGCACCTTAAACAGCAATTTGCTTACCTATTTTTTGGCAAAGTTTTCCTCCTCCCATTTGAATCTGTTGGGTGCTGTATCATTGTTTTCCTGTTAGTTCTGCCACAATTGAACAAAGCTTACTGTTAGCAAGCAGTAGTAAGTGGAAAATAAATGTGAATTTAAAATGAAATTATCAATTCTGGGAAAAATGTATGTAAATGATTCCCATCTACACCCCAAACATGATTTTCTTTCTTGTAGATATCAAAGTAACAAAGGCCTGTTCTTTTGGCCCACTGCTTCTGTTGCTCATGAGTTTAACTTTGAAACCTAATTTACTCATTTAAAATAATATTGATCTGAAACAGAGGATTTCCACGTTTACCTCTTAACTACTGGAAACATCAGTGTTAGCAGCAAAGGAAGATTATCTTGCCAAATAATACCCATAGACTGTCAAGATGGTCATGTTTTCTTGAACTCTTGGGCTTAGTCCCAAATTCATCTAAATTCATAGATTCTATAAACAGTATTGCCAAATAAAGATTTTTTCCTTACATGTATATATGCTCAAAAATTCTTAAAATAGAAGTTCTTAATTTGTGAATGCATGCACATTTTGTAATTCTCAGCGTAAAAATACTAATGGCCACAAATGCAAAGACAGAAATGCTAGAGGAGAAGACATGATTTTATTTAGTGTAAGAAATAATTTTGAACATTGGCTATAATTGAATTCTGAACTTTGTGTATTTCTTAGTTTGCCAGACAAGACCTTTAGAAGCTTTATCCCTAGCCACCAGAAGTATAAATGGTTAAATTTTGCTGCTGAGTTATCTCTGTAGAACATCAGAAATACAATCAGTTAACTGATTTCTATCAGCTATATCCTCTTTGTAATTTATGTATAATCTTTTTTTTTTTCTTTTAAGAGAACTATTTCATTCTTTGCAAAATTCTTCCGCATTCCTTTTAATGAAGTGCGTATTGCAAATGCAAACCTCTACTGCATGTAAGCATCATGATTACAGTGAACACAATTTTTGTGCAGCATTCCTCCCTAACTCTTCTGTGTGGTTGATTTTCTGTTGCACCTGAAAAGTGACCTTCTTCAAGTTCTGCCTTGCTTACAGTGGGGAACTATTTTGATCTGCTTCATATGGCTTTGCCTGTATGTGGGATGCAGCACTGAGGCTGAATACCTCTTTTGATGGCTACATCTGTAGTTCTTCAGAACTGCAGACATTTTAAAAGTAACTAATAGCATAAAGTACAGGATTTATCAGCTCACTATGGGTTCAGGATGTAGTAAAATACCTACCTTGCCTAAAAAGATTTTAAAAAGTCCTCCACTGCTTATTGCTTTAAGGTATTTCTATGCAATATCTTAAAGTTTCTATGTCTACAGTGCCAAAACATTTTGCCTGCATAGCATTTTCTTCTTTCTCTTGTCAACACCACTGTTGACACTGTCACGGGCGTGACATTTCTCCCTCCTTCTGCAAAAGGCAACGAGAAAGCTTCACCTCATGTAACTTAAGAGGCTATGTTTTAGAATTTTTTCCACTTATTAAACATTTCAGACAGATCAGATGCCAAATCTAAATTGTCTCTAACAGTGCAGTTTAGCGGCACAGAGGGAGCAGCAAATCCTATTTAGCTCAAGGTTCAGTTTATGGTTCAGTATATGGCAAGAAGATATACTGAGGAGAAAATGTAGGCTGGGCTTCCCATTACGTGAATTTTCACTAATATTTAATGGCAGACAAACTGTTACGGAGCATGCAAAGAAATCCAAATAACATTTACATTAATGTAAATTGAATTCCTCTCAATGGATTCTGTTGCAATAAACTATGATTAATACATGATGAATTGATGTATAAATGTTTGTGTTTCCAAATTTCAGAATTTCCCAAAGTCATGAAATGCGTAGCTGTATTATGCCATCTGGAAGTTTATTTACTTCAGAGCATTTAAGGTGATTATTACTAGGGTAAATTTTACTTGCCAGGAGTGAAAAATGGCTAAATCAATAAATGAATGGTAAAAAAAAAAAAAAAAAAAAAAAAAAAAGTCCTTTTCTTCCTGCCTTTATTCTCTCTTGTCTTCTGTTTTAATAGTGAAATAATAACAAAAGTAACTATCATGTTCAGGGTCTCTCCTCTGCCTGCAGTACTCTATATGAAGCAGCTCAGTGTTGCCTGATATTTTGTTCCATAAATTATGTGTTCCAAACACTCTACCATACTTCTGTGTTAAACCTTTCTTCATGAGAGATTGTAAATGCCATCATTTGGCCAAAGTATTCAAAAGCAATTCCCTATTGGTTAAACATGATTGCAGTTATCTGTTTTTTTAGTTACTTATTTTTGTAGCTATTTGCATATGTATTTGGTTTGGCAGATATGTTTGAGAGGGCTTCTTGTAAAATGGATCCTCATTGTGCTGGATGATTCACACTCATAAAGTCAAAGAATGCATAAAATGAGAAAAGAGGTGGATACCGCCTACAAGTGGAGTACAAAATAAGCTGAAGGTGGAAAAAGTTGGGCTTAAAGGAAAGGAATAAAATATGGAGTAAAATGGTTTTAAATTAATGGAGAGGAGATTTAGGTTAGTAGTTGGGGGGAAGTTTTTCACTGAGAGAGAGGGTAGTAAAGCACTGGTGTAGGCTACTCAAAGAGGTTGTGGATGCCCCATCCCTGGAAGAGTTCAAGGCTCGGTTGGATGGGTCCCTGTGCAGCCTGATCTAGTGCCTGATAGAGTGGGTGGCAGCCCTGCCCACAGGAGGGTTTGGAACTGGATGATCTTAGAGGTCCCTTCCACCCCAAGTCCTTCTATGACGCTATGATTCTATGGAGTCTGCAAGCCTGTGCTGACTGCAGACATCTGAAGGGGGTCAGTTTGAAAATGTAGGTACCTGTCAAACTTCATATCATTACTACTATATGAAGTGGTCAGTATTATTATTGTCTACATAATTAAAACAGAAAATTCCTAGTATTTATCATTCTGATTATCCCAATTCATGGCTTATTTTGCTAATAAGTGCTTACCAGGATGGTAAATGAAGGATGCTTTAAATTAAAAAAATAGGGTTTTTCTGGCATGTGTCTAAATGTGCTGTGTGTGCTGCATGTGGCAGTGTGGTTAGATTTTGGGGACACTGCAATCATGATGTCACTCTGTTAAAAGGCGCTTTAAAAGTGCATGGTACTATTAATTTCATTTTTCTGTAGCATCTTTCTCTACAGCCATAATTACCTAGAAGAATGGTTTGGAGTGGGAGGAGGCTTAGGTACTGTTTTTTGTGGCTCCAGTTAAGCAAAACGAAAGTCAGTAAGGCAGAAATAATGTTTAAATCTAGCAGCAGAGAGTACTGTCAGACTCACTGCCACTTTTGGAAGTGATACAGGCTAGTAAGAGAGATCATGAGTCTGGCTTGACTGGGCTAGCTTACTACTGAAGGGAGTTTTGAATTTGCTTCAACACTGCGATTCATTGCCACCTTGGGCAACAAACACACCCTGCCTGGTCCCCTGTTACAGCTCAAGAAGAATCCCTGCAGAATGTGAGTCTAAAGTTTCCTTTTCCTGAACTCCGTAACTACGTATAGGAGGACAGTGGGCTTCCCTGCACCATCCTTCCTAGGGGCAGCAGTGATCATTTGGGGACTAATGCCACTGGTGAGTAGGAGGTGCACATGGGGATTGCACTTCTAAGCAGGGCTGTTCTGGATCTTTAACAGGCTGACATTGATCCTCTGTACCCCAAATTACCTCTGATTTTAAGTCCTTTTGAGATAATTTGAGGCTAGCACAGAGTATGCTATGTATGCTTCTATGTATTTGATCTAATTTGCAGAGCTCCATACATGCTGGGATGGAGTTAATCATCATAGCAGCCCATATGGGGCTGCATTTTGAATTTGTGGCTGAAACAGTGTTGATAACACATCACTGTTTTGGCTGTTGCTGAGCAGTGATTGCACAGCATCAAGCCTTGATTTTCATCCCAGTCTGTTCCTCACTGAGAAGTCTGGGAGTGAGAAGGAGCTTGGATGGGGTCAGCCAGGACAGTTGATCCCAACAGACCAAGGGGATATTGCATGCCATGTAACATTGCATTCAGCAATAAAAAATGAGGGAGGGTTTTTTTTTTTGGAAGATGGATGCTGTTTGGAGACCAGCTAGGCATTGCTCTACTCATGGGAGGCGGTGACTGAAAGCCTTTGCATCACTTGTTTTTTAGGATGACAATTTTTAACACAGGCACATAAATATAAGCATCATCCAGGTCTGACGCAAAGGCCCAACCGCTTTTCTGAAATCTTTCCCAAGACAGCGTCCAGAAAAAAAAACCTGTTCTTTTGCTTTTAATTTGTAAAGGTCAGCTTTTATGAATCAGTAATAAGATCATCCATGAAAGCATTGTATGCAGTGCTGTTACAACAGAAAAAAATGCATAAATGGATGATGGTATGATTCATGTGTTGAAGCTGCTTCAGCTCTGGCTCTACAAGCATGTCAAGTAGGAAGAGACTTTAGCTAAGGGAGTGTTAGGAGCATAATAGTAAATATTAAAGTTTACATTCTCTTAGCATAATTATATGTCTGATCATTTGCAAAACTATTTAATTACAACTGGCATTATTCATCTGAATTATCTTCTTCTTCAAAAAAAGTGCTGTAGGTTTCCCTTAAAACCTTTAAACTGACATACATAGAAACACCCCAAGCAGTCTTCATAGTGTCAGTTCAAATAACCACGTAGAATCACAGATAAGGTGAAAATTATTTAATTACCCTATTGGTTAAATATGGATTTGGAAGTTCTGAATTGAAACATTTTCTTGGTGCCAAACTGCATTAACAGTCAGCAAAATGACAGCTAATTGAGGCTTCACTTATAAAATATTAGAAGATATTAAAGCTGCCTTTATCAGGAAACAGATCCCTGGTGAAGGTGTCATGGCTCCTATCTCTGTAATATAGGATAGGACAGATATTCAGGGTGCCGATTAAGATACACAGAAGACACTTGTATTTGTGTTGCAGATTTATATTCATCTGGTTTGGAGCTGTAATGAATCCTAGCCCAGTGACTTTGCAGTG